TAGAACTCTCTATACCAGTACCGGAACTGTGTTAGGCTCATAACAGTCCTACTACGTCCTAGAACCGTCTCATCATCACCTGTCCAGCTACTGCTCACACCCGAGGGCGCTTAACCTCACAGATAAAGATCAGTAAACTCAAATGTGAATAAGAAAATAGTGAAAAGTGCGGTGAACCCAGCAGCCAATTCACAACACACTCGCCAGCAGCTAATTTGCATAGTGAGCAAGTTTAAGGTAAATATTATTGATATTACAGGTAGACCCGTGTGTCGCAGGTCTCTGGAGACACGAACCGGGGACCATAGCCTCGGGCACCAACAGTGGCCAATATATATATATATATATATATATATATATATATATATATATATATATATATATATATATATATATATATATATATATATATATATATATATATATACATATATATGTACCTGACAGGTACATATATATGTACCTGTCAGGTACAAGAGTACCTGTCAGGTACAAGAGTACCTGTCAGGTACTCCTCTTGTACCTGACAGGTACAAGAGGAGTGTTGTTAACGCATACGTCGACCGTGCTCTCAGCCACAGCTCAGAATGGAAGCAAGTCGACGAAGAACTCTGTAGGGTAAGGCAGGTTCTAGTCAATAACGGCTTCTCCAATGGTTTCATCGAAGACATCATAAGAAGGAAAGTGAAAAGCCATGCAACCTCTGAAGAGACAACTAACACAACACCTATACCCCCTATTAGACTATTTTACAGGAACTTCTTTTCCACAGCTCATAAAACGGAGGAAAGGGTCCTGAAAGATATTGTTAATAGGAACGTTATCCCTACAGACAAAAATCAGAGGATACAACTGACGATTTACTATAAAACCAGAAAAACGGCCAGCCTACTCATGAGAAACTCTCCAGACACAAAACAGAACGCTTTAAAAGAGACTAACATCGTCTATGCCTTCAAATGCCCACTTGGGGACTGTAAGCTCCAAAAAACCCAGTATATAGGCAAGACAACAACATCTCTTTCTAGGCGTTTAACGATGCATAAGCAACAGGGCTCCATTAAGGAACATATAATCTCTTCCCATAACCAAACCATCGCCAGAGAAATCCTAGTAAACAACACAGAAATCATCGATAGATACAGCGATAGCAGGCGGCTTGACGTTTGCGAGGCACTACACATCAAGAAGTCAACACCAGCAATCAACAGCCAATTATTGCACAACTATATTCTACCCACCTCAAGACTCCGCTCCAATATAGAAGCATCAAGAAATATGGACCAATAGGCTTTCTACAAACACTTCTATTCAATACCCATTGTTTCTGTTCTGTCTTGTGTTGATACTTTTAATACCCTATTAATATCCCCTCATGTTCTGTCTTGTGTTAATGCCACATCACTATATGCCACATCATCCCTCCCACCTCACTCAAATGTAGATATAATAGCAGAGATACGTAAGTTCTAATCAGTTGTGTATTTGTGAAGTCTTTGAAAATGTAATAAGTTTTACGAAACGCGCCCGTGTCGCGTCAGACTAGAAATAAAAATGAATTTTGGAGAAGTGATTTTTGATTTACCTCCAACAGTGAAGCGTAATGTACGAAAGATTGAGAAAATTCGTGTTAGAATTATTAATCTTACTTTTTCGGTCATATTTAATAATATATATATATATATATATATATATATATATATATATATATATATATATATATATATATATATATATATATATATATATATATATATATATATATATAATTCTAAATATCTAAACCTGTGTCTTTGTGACGTCATGGAACCTCTAAAATCTGAGTGGTTGGAGTGATGACGTCACAGTAGGAACGTTTTGGGATTGGCTGAAGTAATGACGTCACGGCTAGAACGTCCTAACGATTGGTTGGAATGATGACGTCACGCCACTGATGCCTCGTGAGTGGCTCGGAAATAGCTACCAGAAGAGCGTGTTTACTATAAACTGACTGCTCATTAGCTCTACTTGGAGCCTTACTATATATATATATATAATGTAAAGATAAATATAATTCACCTTTTGAAACAAGGCCAAACACAGAATACACGAGTCACTGTGATATTTGAATCACGACTTTATCTTAAGAAAATGGTAATGTTTATGTTTTTAACACTAACTTCGCTATTGTTAAATTGTGTATATTCTCAATATTATGTTATCTACAGCAGGCGTTGTTTATCCTGGGGGAGCTGGGGCCTCCCCTCCCCTTCCCTGCCATCCCTTCCCTTCCCTTCCCTTCCCTGCCACCCCTCCCCATCCCTTCCCTGCCACCCCTCCCCTTCCCTTCCCTGCCACCCCTTCCCTTCCCTGCCATCCCTTCCCTTCCCTTCCCTTCCCCTCCACCCCTCCCCACATCAGACCTTCCATCCTGAACTCCCAAGACCTCCCACATGATGCCCCGCCCCCCACCAAAGCCCGCCTACACACACACACAGATCAATAACGCTGACTTGCTCTCAGCCTGCTATCCTGTTCCTGCCTCCTGACCACCTCCTGACTCACTGTCTTCCTTACTCTGCCTCCTGACCACCTCCTGACTTCCTTACTCTGCCTCCTGACCACCTCCTGACTTCCTTACTCTGCCTCCTGACCACCTCCTGACTTCCTTACTCTGCCTCCTGACCACCTCCTGACTTCCTTACTCTGCCTCCTGACCATCTCCTGACTCACTGTCTGGTGAGTCTGACCTCATAATGACCGCGTCCTCAGAATGCTTTCACTTTTTCCTTTCTGATGGTCTCTCCACAGCACTGCTCACTGGCTCCTGTTGGCACATCATGCTCAATGCTCAATGCTCTCAGTGGCTCAGTGCCCTTCGGCTCTATCGCTGGCAGGTCGCAGGCAAGTCGCAGGCAGGTCGCAGGCAGGTCGCAGGCAGGTCGCTGGCAGGTCGCAGGCAGGTCGCAGGCAGGTCGCAGGCAGGTCGCTGGCAGGTCGCAGGCAGGTCGCAGGCAGGTCGCTGGCAGGTCGCAGGCAGGTCGCAGGCAGGTCGCTGGCAGGCTACCCATCTTCCCAACTTCTTGTTTCCTCTCTGATGTGTTAATTGTGAAAAGTGTATAGTGTTTCTCACGGCTGTGCTCTCTCCACACTGCCTTGTAGACCCATTGTTTCCCTGTCGGAATATTCGTCATTGAAGTCTTCATTTAACATCAGCTTGCCTGTCAATCTACGGGATGTTCCTGCCCCCTTCTTGAAGGACAGTCGTGCAACAGTCTACCAGACAACAGTCTACCAGACAGCAGTACTGGTAGACTTGTTGGGTGGGCGGATCAGGCTGTTGTGGAGGATATTGAGCTGATGCATTGGTTCATTGTGCCTCGTCACTGCTCTTCTTGAACCCCCATTGCTGCCTGCTGAAGAGTTTGTACTCAATGTTACCTCTTATTTTACTCTTAACTCTTTATCTCTCTCTCTCACCTCCCCTCTACCTTCTCTACATTGTTCTACCACACATAATACCTTTATTTTTTCAATATTGTTCGTAAATCATTGTTAAACTTTCTCTGTCGCTGAGGTATTTTACGTCTGGTTATGATTCTCTGTGGCAGCTAATTTGTAAATACCAGACTTAATGGTCTAATTACTCTTTTGTGGTATGATGTGGTGTGTGTCTGCAGTCTCTACACGTACATCAAGAGACTCTCCGTGTGTATGTACTCACCTCTTGTGCCTGCACGATCGAGCTTCAGCTCTTGGACCCCCGCTTGTCTAGCCGTTGGTTGTGTAATGCAATGACTCCAGGGGCCAGATTCACGAGGCAGTTACGCAAGTACTTACGAACCTGTACATCTTTTCTCAATCTTTGGCGGCTTTGTTTATAATTATTAAACAGTTAATGAGCTCCGCAGCACCAGGAGGCTGTTTATAACAATAACAACTGTTGTTTGGGAAGTTTTCATGCTTGTAAACTGTATAATAAATGTAACCAAAGGCGTCGAAGATTGAGGAAAGATGTACACGTTCGTAAGTACTTTGCGTAACTGCTTCGTGAATCTGGCCCCAGGCCTGTTTTTCTATCATACCTGCTTTTAAAGTTATGAATGGAGCTTTATTAATTAGGCTCGGTTATAAATACCTGGGAGTTACCTGCTGATGTAGGTTTGGCCAAATAAATGTGAGAATGTCAAGATTTGATCATTCTCACACCTGCGTTGCTGTGATAGTGAATAATTTAAACATTTTTTTGTTTAATTTTCATTTTTTTATTTTTTTATTCAGGAAAAGTACATACATAGATGATTTGCAAACATAAAGTTGGATTTATTTATAGAGGTAGTACATACAATACCTAAAGCCACTAATACGCAGCGTTGCGGGCAAGGGAGTAATTTAGAGAGTAATATCATGTGCTCAAGAATTGTGTATTTCATTATGAATAATGTACTACCAGAAGTTTTAGCTTACTGGAGGTAATGTATTCAGGTGATGGTGAACTTTCCACCGCCGCCCGCTGGCTGAGAGGTGCGTGAACAGCTTCACTTAGTAATTATCTAAAGAAGGCACCAAGCCCAGGAGACTATGTAGGACACTGTGACCAGCTTAACAATAAGTGGAGCCAGTTATCTTCTTGAGGTTATCTTGAGATGATTTCGGAGCTCAGTGTCCCCGCGGCCCGGTCCTCGACCAGGCCTCCTTGTTGTTACACACCCCCGTGAAGCAACCCGTAGCAGCTGTCTAACTCCCAGGTACCTATTTACTGCTTGGTGAACAGGAGCATCAGGGCGAAAGAAAGTTTTGCTCATTTGTTTCCGCCTCCAACGGGGATCGAACCCGGAACCTCAGCATTACGAATCCGAAGCGCTGTCCACCCAGCTGTCAGGCGCAGTACCACCAATACCTGTCTCGTGTTAGGTACTGGTCTATGTCAGTAACCTGTGTAACTTAGCTAAACAAATTTTTAAATTTTTAAATTTTGCCCCGAGGGGCGAGTTTATTGGGCAGCGCCACTCATCCTGAGTGGACATACTAAACAAATATTGGGGTTATTCTATTATATGTCTTTCTAATCCTTACCACTATCGCTCACAAGATTGGTTTGGGATCCACAATGACGCTAAAAACTCTTAAAACCTGTCTTAAGAGGACATATATCAGCCTCAAAGAAACAGGTGATAACATACTGGCAGACAGACAAAAGCCTAGTAAACGCCACCCGCGTAAAAGCCTAGCGCTATGCTAAACATTCTGTTCATTCATGTAACTGTAGTACCTCCCTTAGTTTGTTTATGTGTGGCCCCACGTGAGTGTGCGTGCGTGTGCGTGTGTACGATTGCGTCACTAGTAGCATTATCAGCTTTCTGGCTGGAATATTCCTCATCCTTGGGCAACTTTCCTAACCCAGACCACGTAACTAGCCAGGTAGGGAATGTTTCCAATATTACTACCCTTCACATCAGACGTTATCCGCCGCCATTTTTAGCTAGCTTTTCTCCATAGCTCTCTCTATTGAAGAATATCATTTTTAGCAGCATATAATTATCAAATAAGGCGCAGGAGAAATGGAAAGAACATCATAAAATTACGGCAAGCGAAAAGGAGAGAGGCAGAGCTGCGCGGGAACACCTCCCCGGACCGAGTTTCCACCGTGTATTTCTCCAACCTTTCCCCACCTATTAAACACATCTCACCATCATACACATCCTCAAAGATAACTTAGACACATAACAAACCCCCTTTCCCCCCTCTGGGCCAGCTCCGACCACCAGTGAAAGAGGGGATCGAACGGTGCTAAAGCGAGGGGAAGCTAGAGAAGAAGGGAACCTCCGACCCCTGGCAATGGCCGGCACATGCGCCCAGAGTAACTGGACCTGGAGAGTGTAAACGTTGGCTGCCGGGCTTTCTTCACTCTTCAGTCACTCACACAACCTGCTGGGGGGAGAGCCAGCCAACCACGCAACACACGCGCGTGTAACACACACACACACACACACACACGCTGATAAAATCCTGTGAAGAAGGCCGGAAATATCGAGGCGATTATAAGTGTGGTCGAAGGCGGCGTTGTAGCAGGACTTAACCTGCTTATCTGGGGCCGGAAACCATGCCTAAAAAGGTGAGCTCTGACGGTCGATTATTGTGTGACGCTGCCGGTGTAGGTATTGATTGTGTGGTGGGGGTGGTTATGGTGGGGTGGTTATGGTGTGGTGGGGGTGGTTATGGTGTGGTGGTTGTGGTGTGGTGAGGGTGGTTATGGTGTGTTGGTGGGGGTGGTTATGGTGGGGTGGTTATGGTGGGGTGAGGGTGGTTATGGTGTGGTGGTTATGGTGCGGTGAGGGTGGTTATGGTGGGGTGGGGGTGGTAATGGTGGGGTGAGGGTGGTTATGGTGGGGTGGGGGTGGTTATGGTATGGTGTGGTGGTTATGGTGTGGTGGGGGTGGTTATGGCGTGGTGGGGGTGGTTATGGTGGGGTGGGGGTGGTTATGGTGTGGTGGGGGTGGGTATGGTGTGATGGGGTGGTTATGGTATGGTGGAGATGGTTATGGTGTAGTGGTGGGGGTGGGGGTGGTTATGTTGTGGTGGGGTGGTTATGGTGTGGTGGGGTGGTTATGGTGTGGTGGGGTGGGGGTGGTTATGGTGTGGTGGGGGTGGTTATGGTGTGGTGGTGGGGTGGTGGTGGTGGGGTGGTTATGGTGTAGTGGGGTGGTTATGGTGCGGTGGTTATGGTGGGGTGGGGGTGGTTATGGTGTGGTGGGTATGGTGTGGTGGGGTGGTTATGGTGCGGTGGTTATGGTGTGGTGGGGTGGTTATGGTGGGGTGGGGGTGGTTATGGTGTGGTGGGTATGGTGTGGTGGGGGTGGTTATGGTGTGGTGGGGGTGGTTATGATGTGGTGGGGGTGGTTATGGTGTGGTGGGGGTGGTTATGGTGTGGTGGGGGTGGTGGTTATGGTGTGGTGGGGTGGTTATGGTGGTTGTGGTGTGGTGGGGGTGGTTATGGTGTGGTGGTGGTGGTTATGGTGTGGTGGGGGTGGTTATGGTGTGATGGGGGTGGTTATGGTGTGGTGGGGGTGGTTATGGTGTGATGGGGTGGTTATGGTGTGGTGGGGGTTGTTATGGTGTGGTGGGGGTGGTTGTGGTGTGGTGGGGGTGGTTATGGTGTCGTGGTGGTGGTTATGGTGTGGTGGGGGTGGTTATAGTGTGGTGGGGGTGGTTATGGTGGGGTGGGGTGGTTATGGTGTCGTGGGGTGGTTATGGTGTGGTGGTGGTGGTTGTGGTGTGGTGGGGGTGGTTATGGTGTCGTGGTGGTGGTTATGGTGTGGTGGTGGTGGTTGTGGTGTGGTGGGGGTGGTTATAGTGTGGTGGGGGTGGTTATGGTGTGGTGGGGTGGTTGTTATGGTGTGGTGGGGGTGGTTATGGTGTGGTGGGGGTGGTTATGGTGTGGTGAGGGTGGTTATGGTGTGGTGGTGGGGGTGGTTGTGGTGGGGTGAGGGTGGTTATAGTGTGGTGGAGATGGTTATAGTGTGGTGGGGGTGGTTATGGGGCGGTGAGGGTGGTTATGGTGTGGTGGGGGTGGTTAAGGTGTGGTGGTGGGGATGGTTATGGTGTGAATTAGCTGTTGGATGAAGGACTATACTGGCGTACACCTGTGGTTGATTGCTGAATAAATCACAGAACTATATGTTTAACATATCTCTTACCGTGTGTGGTAATATGTGTGGCCATGTCTGGTAGAAAATAATAATAATAATAATAATAATAATAATTATTATAATAATAATAACATACTAAATAAACTATTGTCTCGATCTTACACGTTTCCATCTTGCACATCTCGGTCTTGCACGTTTCGTATGTCTGTTGCAGGAGGTGAACGTGAGACAAGGACATTACATCGATTTCTAAACCTCACTCTTATATTGACCTCAAGGGGCACTTTAGTGACCTTATTTCACTTCACCCAGTTGATCGGCGCCGCTCACTTTATCGACACATGAAATCGCTGACACACTTTTCTTGAACAGGTAATTGCTCCGCTCCCTCCGTGTTCGACCCGCACCTCAGTAAACACTTCAACACGTACCAATATATCCTAAACACCTAACATGAGAACAAGAAAGGAAATTGCAGGCGATGAGTCACAATAACGTGGCTAAAGTATGTTGACCAGACCACACACTAGAAGGTGAAGGGACGACGACGTTTCAGTCCGTCCTGGACCATTCTCAAGTCGATTGTGAGAATGGTCCAATCGACTTGAGAATGGTCCAGGATGGACCGAAACGTCGTCGTCCCTTCACCTTCTAGTGTGTGGTCTGGTCAACAACAAAGGAAATGTGTGTTAGCCTATACAGAACAGCTTTTCTATATTTCCACCCGAACTTATTCATATAGCCTAGGCTTGGAACACTCAGCAACCCAGCGTCTATTAACCTAACTTAGGCCTAAATACACACAGAATTATAATATATAATAATCATATTTTAATACATATGTTAAAATTGACGAATGTATCTTTGGGTCGACTACAGCTTGGAGGCACAGGACCCGAGGACGAGTAGTGTGTAAAGTGTTTGTAGTTCCTAATCAATTATGGAGTTATATGAATGTCCAACCCATCCTTTTATTGAGCAAATGGGAGACCTTTGACGAGCCGCCGGCTTCCTGTCCTCATCATGGCCACTAGTGACCCTCAGGTAAGTTTTTTTACGCAGACAAAAAAAGGTTGCAAATAGTAGTCGGGAAAGAGCTGGAAACGTTTATTGCCGCTAAATGAATTATTTTTCCCGCAACAAAAATTCTCCGCCTCAGCAAAATTGATCGTCGCAAGTAAAACATTCGCTGCTTACATAATAACTTTCACACAAATCCGAGCAACCTATCATAATGTTTATTACCCTTGTTTCTTCTACATGGGCTGGACGGTAGAGCAACGGTCTCCCTTCATGCAGGTCGGCGTTCACTCCCCGACCGTCCACCACCTCATATCCCTTAGTTACTAAGTGTTTTCTTCTGATAATTACCAATACCATTCATTGGTTTATTAGTATAGGTCATGTTACCCATTTACTGCTAGGTGAATATCAGGTGTAAGGGTTTCCTAGGCCAACAACTGATGTTCCCCAGGATGCAACCCACGATATTTGCTTAACTCTCAGGTACCTGTTTACTGCTAGGTGAACAGAGAAATCAGGTGAAAGGAAACATAGCCAAACGTCTCGAATCGAACCTAGTATTATTCATTTGTGAGCAATGTATATACATCGCATGTGTATTGAACCGGAAATGTTTGCGGTGAAATTATTCGGGCGAAGGAGAAAAATGATCTGATCAAAGCGTACAATTATCCAAGCGAATTGAATACATTATCCATGAGAACAGTATACAATTATTTTGTCAAAGTGTACGATTATTTGGGCCAAATGTATAATCATAATTACTCATAAAATGTATAAAAATAATTACATAATTAATTGGTGTTATCTTAAAGCTGACGCATGACTTTTTCCCTGACAAAGTTAGGCTTTAGCATGGAACATTGACACCGGTAAAGAGAGTTCTGACCTCCGTCTAGAAACTACAAGACCATTATCCTACCAACAAAGCCGCGACTGCTTATAACAAAGAATAGTTGCTCCATTTAAGTCATTTGTGTTGATTATTGACCGATTAAAACTATCATTTATGGAAGAATAGCCTCATTTCATAAATTTTTAACTAATTTAAGTTTTCTGATCGGCTGATTTTCTTCATATAAATATTCTATATACACAAACTACATTTCATACATTGTTAACCGAGTGTATTAAAGTAGTATAATTGTGTGTGTGTAAGGTTGAGGGGTATTTTATTATATACTAGCTCTTGGACCCCTCCTTTCGAACCATCTTTTGTGTAATGTATTTCCTTCCAATCAGATTTTATGTTAGACATATATAATAGTTGTAGATATTTCTCTCTCTCACACACACATCCCCAGGATGCAGCTCACAAAACGTACCTATTTACTACTAGGCGAACAAAGGCATCAGATGAAAGAAACTACCTGTTTGTTTCTGCCTCAGCCGGGAATCAAACCCCGGTTCCTAGACTACGAATCCCTAACACTATCCGCTCGGCCGTGTGTATGTGTGTGTGTGGCTATGCATGTATGTATGAGTGGGGAGGGAATGGGAGGAATGAGGGGACTCCTATGTCATCTCCGGAAATGTGTAACAGAAATAACTTACCATGATTTACCTCTTGGTATCACATGTTTCTTGCCACATGTGTGTGCTAGTTCTGTCACCCTCGCCGCTGTGCTTCGTCATTAGGGACGAAGTGTGGGTGTACTCACTTAGTTATGCTTGTGGGGGTTGAGCTCTGGCTCTTTGGTCCCGCCTCTCAACTGTCAATCAACGGGTGTACAGATTCCTGAGCCTATTGGGCTCTATCATATCTACACTTGAAGCTGTGTATAGAGTCAGCCTCCACCACATGTTCTATTATGACTTGTTATGCACCCTACCCCAATATTACATACTCTTCCATGCTCTACTGTCATATTACATGTTCGTACGTGCCCCATTGTTATATTATATGATCGTGTGTGCTGTACTGTAGTATTACGTGCCCTAACCTGAGACCCTATCACATACACTTGTGTATGTGATAGGGTCTTATTACATACACTTGTGTATGTGATAGGGTCTTATTACATACACTTGTGTATGTGATAGGGTCTTATTACATACACTTGTGTATGTGATAGGGTCTTATTACATACACTTGTGTGATCTATTGTAATATTACGTGCTCTTTTGTGCCGTATCCTAGTATGGCATAGCATTACATTCGGTTGTTCGTTGTGTTGCCTAAATTTACCTGAGGCTCACAATCTTTAGTGGCTTTAACGGGGGCAGGAAGCATCTCCTGTTGTCTGTTTGTGGTTTGTTGAACTTGACGGTGTTGTCCCTTGTGTGTGTTATATTGTGGTTTGTTGAACTTTGACGGTGTTGTCCCTTGTGTGTGTTACATTGTGGCTTGTTGAACTTGACGGTGTTGTCCCTTGTGTGTGTTATATTGTGGTTTGTTGAACTTGACGGTGTTGTCCCTTGTGTGTGTTACATTGTGGCTTGTTGAACTTGACGGTGTTGCCCCTTGTGTGTGTGTGTTACATTGTGGCTTGTTGAACTTGACGGTGTTGTCCCTTGTGTGTGTTACATTGTGGCTTGTTGAATTTGACAATGTTGCCCCTTGTGTGTGTGTTACATTGTGGCTTGTTGAACTTGACGGTGTTGCCCCTTGTGTGTGTTACATTATGGCTTGTTGAACTTGACGGTGTTGCCCCCTTGTGTGTGTTACATTGTGGCTTGTTGAACTTGACGGTGTTGTCCCTTGTGTGTGTTACATTGTGGCTTGTTGAACTTGACGGTGTTGTCTCTTGTGTGTGTTACATTTGACCTTTTAAAGTAATCTGAATTAATATCTTCCAATGTGTTCAGTCCTGTAATATTAATTAAAGATATCGATAAGATTGGCCCTCTCATGTCTGGATTGTAGTGTAGTTAGTCGTGTGGCCCGCAACCAGTCTTGTATGAAAGTTGACTTAGTTCTGGGGCGGATTTTTGTTACTTTGTGCTGAACTTTTCTCTAAAGCATATATGTCCTGAAGATAAGGTCTCCATGCTTGCATCCAGTAGACCAGATGGGGACGCTCCAGTGACTTCTACAGGTGAATAACTAGTTCGTTTTTGACCTCTGAAGCAAAAGTTCGTTTGATTTTTTTTCCTAAAGTTTGATTGAATTTTTGTTTACCTCAGCTCCTGTTTGTTCAACAACTTTCAATGACTGATGGATCATAATTTCCAGGTGTTTTTCCCAGATACAATATTTATGTACCTAAGCCATATACAACTTTACCATTGTGATCATTGCTGTCATCTTATATGTGCTATCAATATGCTTTATTGTGCCTATTAATCTTTGTCAAATTATCAGTCTATAGCTATAGCTAATCTCTTTATGTATGTACCTTTACCTAAATAAAAATTATTATTATTATTATTATTATTATAATGCTATCAATCAGAGCTATCAGTGTACTTTAATATACCTACTAGTCTCTCTCTCATTTTTTTCGTACAATGTACCTGTTAACATTATAAAAACATTGCTAGAATTTACTTACTTAATATTACTTAATATTAGTGACTTTAAAAGAATGCAAACACAATGCTGTGTACTCTCACAAACTCTATGTACCTTCTTGTATATATACAACTAAATAAACTATCATTGATCATAACAGATAGAGAGAGAGAGAGAGAGAGAAAGAGAGAGAGAGAGAGAGAGAGAGAGAGAGAGAGAGAGAGAGAGAGAGAGAGAGAGAGAGAGAGAGAGAGAGAGAGAGAGAGAGAGAGAGAGAGAGAGAGAGAGAGAGGTAGAGAGAGAGTAGAGAGAGTTAGAGAGAGAGAGAGAGAGAGAACGAGAGAACTAACCGCTGGATGTCCCAACAGACCGTTGCCTTGGAGACGGACGCCAACGAGATCAGAATCACTGTGAACCGGGCCGAGGATGACAAGAGCATCAGCATCAATGACGAGGGACGAGATGTGTGGGGAAGCAAGATCGAGTTCCTCCTCTCTTGTCTCTCCTTTGCTGTCGGCCTCGGTAACATCTGGCGCTTCCCATACCTGTGTTACCGCAATGGAGGAGGTGGGTAATGGGGGCAGGTGTGGGTGGTGGACTGGTGTGTGGGGAGTTGTGGGAGGTGAACAGGTGTGAGTGATGGACAGGTGGAATGGTGTGTTGATTGACAGGTGTGTGAGCAATGGGCAGGTGTGAATTTGTATGAATAAATTCCATTCTGAGCCATCAGTCCCCACAGCATCCTGTTTGAGCCATCAATTCCCAAAGCATCTTGTCCTGATTCATCAATCCTCACAGCATCCTGTACTGAGCCATCAATCCCAACAGTATTTTGTTCTAAATCATCAATCCCAACAGCATCTTGTCCTGAACTATTGATCCAAATAGCATTCCTTCCTGACCAATCAATCCTCACTGCATTCCTTCCTGACCAATCAATCCTCATAGCATGCCTTCCTGAGTACTCCATCTCCATAGCATCCCACTATGAACCATCACCCCCCCCACAGTATCCTCTCCTGAGCCCTGAATCCTAGCAGCATCCTGTCCTGAACCATCAGTTAAAAATTAAAATTTGTATATTCCTTTTCTCACACAGGCGCCTTCTTAATACCGTACGTGATCATGCTTTGCATCACCGGATTGCCTCTCTTCTTCTTCGAGCTAAGTCTGGGACAGTTTGGAAGGGAAGGTCCCATCACCATTTGGAAGGTGGTGCCACTCTTCCAGGGTGTGGGCGTTGGCATGTTCATGATCGCCTTCTTCATCGCGCTCTACTACAACGTCATCATCGCTTGGGCACTCTTCTACCTCTTTTCTTCCTTCACGGCCGAGCTGCCCTGGCAGTCGTGTGACCACTGGTGGAACACTGCTGCCTGTAGAAGGTCAGTCTTCATGTACTCTGTGGTGGTGATAATCGTTAGTGTGATGTAATGGATGTAGTGAACACTATTTGATGCTAATCCCCTTATTGCTATATAACTCTGCCTACTTCTGCTTCATCAGGTGTTACCATTATTGTTTCCAACAACATTACTGTAACTACTCTAACCACAACACCAATGTTATCGGATGTCTGATCACTTGCCTTCTGCTCTTCAGGTTCGATGCCAAAAACTGCACAGCACACGAGGGCATCATGGCCACCAACGGCACCTGCTACTTCGAAAGTCAAGTTACACATAAAGACTGGGAGTCCCTCAACGTGACGGCCCAGAGCTTGAAACTTCCTGCAGACGAGTTCTTCCAGTGAGTAGTGCAGTTGACCACTGTGTGATTTTTGACAATTTTGTGTGATGGTTGAGCACAGTGGTGGTTATGGTTATGTTGACAATACAGTACTGATCAGTGTTGACTCTGCTCGATACTATACTGACAACAGTATTGACTGCACTTAATGCTATACTAACAGCAGTGCTGATCTGAGTGTTGACTATACTGGCCTGGCTATGCTTGTTATGCTGACCTTACTATACTGGTAGGATTATGCTGACTATAATTACCTCACTAAACTGGCCTCACTATGGTGACCAACCTGACTAGTTTGATCTTACTGTGCTGACTGGTGTCATGACTGATCTCACTATACTGAACTCGCTGTGCTACCCTTCTAATGTTGACCTCGCTATGCTTTCAGTAACTTCATGCTGGACATCTCTGAGGGGTTCCATGATGACGAAGGCCACAGCCTGCAGTGGCGGCTGTGTCTCTGCCTCATCCTCTCCTGGGTCATTGTCTTCCTGGGCCTCTTCAGGGGAGTCTCCAGTATGGGAAAGGTGAATCATTCTCCACAAGAATGTTAATCCTAAGAGTGTGGCTTATGTCAGTTGACGTATAGGGTGCGGCTTACATCAATTGAGGTTTTTCACTCTTAGAAAATTAGGTTGTGCTTATAAATCTCCTTATTTACCATGGTTTGAAATTCCTCTGGCTATTACTGTATTGCCTAATAAAAAAATCAACTTTGGTATTGTACATGAAAGTTGTTAATTAGAAAATTTTTGGAGAATATAGCATCAATGTGCCCAAAAAATTATAAAAGATGTGTACTGTATTAAGTTTTGAGATTAATTTAGGTGTTTATCTGTAGTCAACCATATTAATTTTGATTCTTTCTCAGATCCTATAAAAATAAATATAAAATCATGAGGGTAAATTTTTTAACTAAATTTTAGGAACTGATATCAACATCAGAATTGATGTGAAATTCTTTTAATCCAAGAACTATATAAATTTTTTCCTTCATGTTTTTCCTCTCAATTGGAAATAAACTCATTAATGTATTTTTTTTTTAAATCTTCAAGAGTTTCACATAGAAAAGTAATGACTGAATTATTCACTTCAAGGTTAAGGTTCAAAAAAAAAGTAAAAGTATAAAAATTAAAAGTAAAAAGTATTTTGAACCTAATCTGTACAAAACAATTATTAGTTAGGTTAAGAACTCTACCTTAAAAAACACCAGCGTTGAATGTAATGAAACCCCATTTTCTGGGGGAGACCCGGAGGCTCCGGGGAGCCTCCGGGTCTTCCCCCAGAAAACCATTTACATATATTGTAATTACTGAAACAAATTGTCTATATGTATAGATGAAAATTGATTTTGTTTACTAAAAGCAATTACTGGCTTGTTGCTCAGATGTTTTGGTCTCCTTCAGGCTGTCTACTTCACAGCGCTCTTCCCCTACACCGTCCTCATCATCTTGTTTGCCAGGGCTGTCACTCTCCCCGGCTACCTACAAGGCATCTCATTCTACATCACTCCTCGGTGGCACCATCTTCTCCATGCCAGGGTCAGTGCCTAGTGCCAGAGTCAGTGATTGATGCCAGGATCAGTGCCTAGTGCCAGGGTCAGTGATTGGTGCCAGGGTCAGTGCCTAGTGCCAAGATCAGTGATTGATGCCAGTTTCAGTTCTCATATGTACCACAAAGGTGGCATATGGTTATACTGCAGTTGAATGCTTATCTGTGATATTTGTAAGGCTTTATTCATAACAATTTACATTAATAATTATAGTACTATACAAATCATAAGACTTCTAGCTGGACTGAATAGATGAACAACAGTGTAAATCAAACTTAACATTTAAGACACAAAAAAAAAATTAGGTAACATTGTCGACCAAACCACACACTAGAAAGTGAAGTAACGAAGACACAATCGGCTTGAGAATGGTCTAGGACGGACCGAAACGTCGTCGTCCCTTCACTTTCTAGTGTGTGGTTTGTTCAACATATTTTAGCCACGTTATTGTGACTCCTCGTCTGCATTAGGTACCATTTATACTGACGTGTGCCACAGGTGTGGGCAGATGCAGCCATGCAGATTTTCTTCTCGCTTGGACCATGCTGGGGAGGACTCATCACGCTAGCATCTTATAACAAGTTCACCAATAATTGTCTAAGGTAATACATGCTCTCCCTCCTAGTACAGTTGGCTTTGTTCTTGACTCAAAATCAGGGATTGCCTGTTCGATTCCTGGGTAAGACAGATTATTTTATTTATTTGTTTATACACAAGAAGGCACATTGGGTTGAGATGTAACAAGTACATACATTGGGGTTTGAGTATAACATTTTTTCAAAGCTAACATGCATAACATTTTGAAAAGCATTGCAGAGCAAAAAGAAGAAAGACAAGAAAGAACTATATGAATGACACAGGTTGTAAAACGAGCATTGGTAAATAAGAGGGACCTCTGGAGAATATATAAATCCACAATGGACATCATTTATTGTGAGTTATACAAAAGAGCACTAAACTCGGCCACTCAGAAAAATCATTTCAGCCAAAAGAAACTACGAAAGAAAAATTGCCCAAAACATAAAGAAAGATCCAAAATCGTTCTGTGCCTATATAAGAGGTAAAAACCAAAACAAAGGACTCCGCTGGACCCATAATAGATGAAACTAACCAAGCTATAATGGATGATAAAAGGGCAGCAAATACTCAAAATAATTATCCTACATCAGTGTTCACACTCGAAAGGTTGGATGACATCTCATCACCCACACAAATGTTTGAAGGAGGAAGAGAGAATCAATTTATGGATATACCCATAACATGCAAAATAATTAGAAAGAAATTGATAAATTAAAAGACTCAAAAGCCCCAGGTGTGGATAGAATCCAATCCAAAGTCTGGCAGAAGAACTATGCCTACTGCTGAAACTACTTTCTCAAAATCTCTGGACCAAGCGGTAGTCCCCCTAGATTAGAAATATGCAAATGTCACCCTATTTTCAAAAAAGGCAGAAGGAGCTCAGCAGAAAACTACTGACCAATCAGCTTTACATCACACATCTGCAAGCTCATGGAGAGAATCCTCAGGGAGGGAATCATTCACCATCTTTCAGTGAACAATCTTGAACAATCAACACAACACGGGTTTGTTAAAAACAGATCCTACCTTACAAACCTGCTCACATTTTTGGAAACTGTAACCAGCTACTCAGACAAAGGAACTCTGGTGGTTCCTTTGTCCACCAGTATACTTGGATTTTGCTAAAGCTTTTGATAATAATAATAATAATTTTATTTAGGTTAGGTACATACATAAAGAGATTTTACAAAGTTTGTTGGCTTTATAGATAGAGCTAGTACATACAATGCCTAAAGCCACTATTACGCAAAGCGTTTCGGGCAGGAAAAGTACCTTAAAAACCACAAAAGTACCATGTGGTACTTTTTGATAAGGTACCACATGAAAGACTGGCAAGGAAATTACAGGCCCATGGAATAAATGGTAAAATATTAGAATGGATAAAACAATGGTTGAAGGAAAGAAAACAAAGGGTAATGTTAAATGGAAATGAATATGAATGAAGAAATGTGATAAGTGGGATGCCATGAGGGTCCATGGGACCTACCCTTTCTGTCACATACGTCAATGACATAGATGAGAATATTACAAACCATATAATGAAATTTGCAGATGACACAGATTTATGGCAACGTAAAGTGGGAAATGGTAATGATAGTGAAGCCTTACAAAGAGATCTACATGAACGCCACAAATGGTCAGAAGACTGGCAAATGCTTTTTAATATCGACAAATGCAAGACCTTGCATGTGGGGCATAACAACCCATGCCACGACTACCAAATTATAGCATTACATTACAGGAGATTGATGAAGAAATGTACCTTGGAGTCAAAATCCACCACTCATTAAAAGTTGCACAACAGGTGGGTTGTAGCAGTCGGAAAAGCTAACCAAACTCTTGGGATAATCAAGCATACTTTTGACTGCACGGAAAAGGAGGTAATGGTTCAACTGTATAAATCTCTGGTGCATTTGGATTACTGTATCCAAGCATGGAGACCTCATTTTCAAAAGGATATAGCTGCTCTGGAGAAAGTGCAACACCAGGCAACAAAAGTCATTCCAAAGATGTGTCATCTCTCATATCAGGAATGCTTAAAGGCCACAGGGCTAACAACATTGCAAACCAAGCATGACAGGGCGGATCTCGTTGAAACTTAAAATGCTGAACAAGTTAGAGGATGTTGATCCGTATATTTTCTTCGGAAGGTCAGATGTAACACAAACAAGGAGCAATGGTTTCAAGCTCAACAAACCACAATGTAGGACTGAGGGACAGGAGATGCTTTTTCAACCACAGGGTTATTAACCTATGGAACTGCTTACCCGCTGAAGCTGTAACAGCCAAAACTGTATTGAGTTTAAAAATATACCCGGAAAAGACCATCAAGGCAAATGGGGGGACCTTCGATAAGCTGCCGGCTTCCTGTCCTCAACGAGGCCACTAGGGTTAGTTGCCCTCAGGTAAATCAGGTTGTATTAGTATTTAGGAATAAGATTTTGTACATATAAATAATACAAGAGAATGTGTGGAGTTAGGGTGTGTTTAGCATATCAGGTGGGGAGTTTGACTGGGGCGGTACATCTGTCAAATGATAACGCAGGTGTCCTAAGGCCAGCTCAGCGTGGACAGAAACCTCGCGTAGAGCAAAAGGGCAAATCCCTTCTTCTCAGGGATTTAAACAGAGGGGCTGTGTGTTGTCTGAAGATAGTGATTGTTATAATTATGATAACAGATTTTTGCTGGGGAATGATGGGCTTGAGGTAATTTACAGTGGTTGAACCCCATGCACAGATACTGTATGTTAGATAGGGATGGATCAGCAAGTAGTACAGTGAAAGGAGAGCAAATGGTTTGGCACGTGTTCTTTTCGTGTTCTGTTTGCACGTGTTCTGGGGAGCTGGTCGGCCGAGCGGACAGCACGCGGGACTTGTGATCCTGTGGTCCTGGGTTCGATCCCAGGCGCTGGCGAGAAACAATGAGTAGTTTCTTTCACCCTATGCCCCTGTTACCTAGCAGTAAAATAGGTACCTGGGTGTTAGTCAGCTGTCACGGGCTGCTTCCTGGGGGTGGAGGCCTGGTCAAGGACCGGGCCGCGGGGACACTAAAGCCCCGAAATTATCTCAAGATATCCTCAAGATAACCTCATCTAATGCCTCTGTCTGTTAAACAGTAAATAGGTACCTAGGAGTTAGGCAACTGTTGTGGTGTTGTATCCTGGGAAGGGGCAGCAGTTCAATCTTAGGGGACCTCAATGCAAGCCTAAAGTATGCATGTGTATGCGTAAATATCCACTAGAAAAACGAAATGAAAATTCTAAATGTTTTTGTGTTTCACCACATTATCAAGGAATATCTGTATCCCTTGACAATGTGATGCTCTTGAAAATGATAAGGACATTAGGTTATTGTTGCCTGAGTGCGTTGTGTAATGGTTACCAAATTTTGGTTGTCTATTAGTATGCTATGTCCACCTGTCCTTCGTGGTACTAATATCCACCTCCTGCTCAATCCTTATGACGGTTCAGACTGTTCAAGTCCCTTTTTTATAAACACAATAGGACATTTACTACCCAACTCTTTTTATCTCCTTGTGTGTGTGTCATTCTCTCTTTCCTATTTCTCTTCATTTTTCACCCCCTTTCCCCTCACCTCCCCTTTATCACATCATCCAACGAAGAATCTCACCAGTTTTATCTCTTATCTTCTGCCTTGTTGCAGGGATGCCATCATCATTAGTGTTGCCAACTGCATGACCAGCTTCTTCTCAGGGTTCGTCATCTTCGGCATTGTTGGCTTCATGGCTCACGAACTCGGGGTTCCTGTCGATCAGGTGGCGGCTCAGGGTCAGTTTTATAATTTTTATTTTTTTAAAGATTTTGAGAAAATGTAAATAATACTAGTACTGTAATTATGTAATAATAATAATAATAATATTGCAAGTTTTATTTATTAAATACTATTATTATGCCTATAATTTTTTTTATATCGTGCAAATACAGTTATTGTAGGTTATTTCTGGAGGTTTTGAGTTATCAGTGACATTAATAATAATAGGATAAAAGTCCACACTTATGTATTTGTGAATTTTATGTAAAGATTTACATCGTCTTTCTCACTTTCCTGAGTGCTTTGTCAAGGTCTGAGTACAGTATGTGGTTAGGACGAGACTTACATCTCAACGACTAATGCCAATAGTCGTTGAGCTGTAAGTCTCGTCCTAACTCAGACCTTGACAAGGCACTCAAGAATGAGAGAGAATTCGTGTAAATCTTTACATAAAATTCACAAATACATAAATGTGGACTTTTATCCTATGTTATTATGTCTGTGAGAAGACATTACCATTACTTATTAGTAATAATGCTATAATAATAATGATGATAATAATTTTTGTATTTATAAATGTTTACTCTTTCACAGTTAGTCATAAATAATGCAGGTGTCAGTAGTGATGTCAAAGTTTTGTGATCTGCAGGCCAAAGAACAGTTTAAAACAAACATATTTAATTAATGTAGTGGCAGAAAGGGGAGAATGAAGTATGCTCTCAAAACTACATACACATTAGCAATCAAAGCTTCCCAGGGGTAGCTTGGGTTAGGAATCATGGTCAGAAGAATAGACATTATTTTCACACAGGATTCAGGGAAAACACGAATTCACTCGTTTATTCGATCTAGAGCCTGTGGAGAGTGAGACTGGGAAGACTTTGTGCCCCTCTGTATTACGTTTCACTCATATAACATTTGCATCTTCCCCCTAGTATGATATGCACACTGTCACACAGTATGGTATTTGTGTGCCCCTCCTAACCCCTATGTGATACTTGATTTTATTCCACACAGGTGCTGGGTTAGCCTTTGTGGCCTATCCTGAGGCAGTCGCACGCCTCCCCATCTCTCCCCTGTGGTCTATCCTCTTCTTCATAATGCTGCTCACACTTGGCATCGGTTCCCAGTTCACCATCGTGCAGACTGTCATCACCTGTCTTGTTGATTTTCTGGAACTCCACAAACATCACAAGTGAGTTGACATAGTCTTGGAGCTCTATATAGGTACCATATGTGAGATGCCATAATCTTGGAGCTCTGTGTACATGTACCTCACATGTACCACATGTGAGGTACCATAATGTTCAGAGCTATGCACTTATCATGGAGTGTGATGATATGACTCGGGCATGAATTTCACCTGCCGTGATGTTTCCGTAAGTGAGCATATACTCGGGCAGAGGTTACCTGGCATGCATATTCATGTGGATATAAATAAGTGTGTGTATACTGTATGTGCAATTGACCGCTTAGCATTTATACCCGGGTAGATATAAACTTAAGATGTATCAAGAGTACAATATGTGAGTGATGTTAATGTGTTGGTTGTGGTTTTGACAGAAAGGTTTGCCTGACGGTGTGTGTGGTAGGATGCCTGATAGGCCTGACAATGTGCACCAGACATGGCATGTATATTCTGCAGTTGCTGGACAACTACTCTGGCACCTACTCTGCCCTCATGATCGGCTGTATTGAGGTGAGCAGCTCTGTTCAATTCTGTTTCCTCCTCCTCCTCTTTCTACTCATTAAACTTTTCATTGACTTTATCAATGATAAGTTATCCTATTAAATCTCTAATTAGCTTTAAGTTGCAACATTTAAAATTTGTTGATCTTGGGACATAGAAGCTCACCCAATAAACCTTTAGGTTCAGGACGTAGAAATCCTATTAAACCTTACAGAATATTAGCTAGCACTTTTAAATCTTACAAGGCCTTGATGTTACCCTGATTAAATCTCTCAAGTTCTTAAAGTTACTCCGTGAAATCTCAAAGGTTCTCACTGGAACCCAAGTAATCCTTTTAGTACTATGAAGAAAACCCTGTTTACCTCTCTTAATTTTTGTCACTAGGTCACATAACATAATGTTTGTCTCTTTATATTTATTCTCCCAATTCTGTTAACCTCTTTATCTTCATAACCCGAGTCCCATTACCCAGTTCACGTAACTGATTGCTGATCTCTCACTCTCCCCATCAACAGCTGTTTGCCATCTGCTGGGTGTACGGGGTTGACAACTTCATGAATGACATCAAACTCATGCTGGGGACGAAGCCCTTCCCCCACTATTATTGGAAGTACTGCTGGAAGTATATAACCCCTCTCAGCGTCTTTGTGAGTACCTGCCCTGGCAGTCCTTCCAAACCTTGTTGTTAGATGATGCTGTGACAGACCTGGAACACCTCATTGTTAGAAGCTGTCCTAGTGTTTCTTCAACATCTCCTTGTACACTAGTTAGATGCTGCAACAGTGCTCCTTTCAGATATCCTAATATGGTACTGTTATCTTGAGGTTATCTTGAGATGATTTCGGGGCTTTAGTGTCCCCGCGGCCCGGTCCTCGACCAGGCCTCCACCCCCAGGAAGCAGCCCGTGACAGCTGACTAACACCCAGGTACCTATTTTACTGCTAGGTAACAGGGGCATAGGGTGAAAGAAACTCTGCCCATTGTTTCTCGCCGGCGCCCGGGATCGAACCCGGGACCACAGGATCACAAGTCCAGTGGGCTGTCCGCTCGGCCGACCGGCTCCCCTGTAGTTAGATGCTTCCATAATAATTATTACAGACCTTCATGGAGTTATCCGCTGCCTCAATGTTTCTTCCAGCTCTCTTTGTGGCTAATCTGGCATATATTGTTGTTTTTCTTAAACACTGAAAACTTTGAATTTGCTGATTATGTTAAATGTTGTTTGCATTGTAATTGTAGGATAATTCATTCTTTAAAAATTTATATATTTTTTCTTGTTCTTGTCCGAGTCATATCTGCTATACCTGTTAAATTTTGCATTCTTCCTGCAACATTGTATTCCATGTTAAATGTTGCTGTTAATTTACTGAATATATCAAATATTTTTTTTCATTTAAAAAAAAACTCATTGTTCTTGCTAACTTCCCTAGGCAATTGCAATTATTTTATTATTATTATTATTATTATGACGATGATAATGATGATATCAATGTTCATGTTACTGTTCTTGTAAAATTTAGCTGTTTTTTCATTGTTTAATCTGCCACTCTCCTTGTCAACGTTTCCTTTCCTTCTGATGGTTATATACAAAATTAATAGTTTTACAATATTATTTTATTACAGTATTTAGTTTGGTTTGTTTCTACCATTGTCAACTGTCACTGTCTTTGCTGAATGTTGCTGGATGTAATAATGATATAATAAATCATTGTGTCAGGAGACTGGCAGCCGGAGTGTATTCATACACATTAGGCTTATATCAAGTCCCTCCCCCCCCCCCTCCCACCATTCCCAGGATGCAACCCCACAACAAGCTGACTAACTCCTGAATACCTACTTAGTTCTAGGTGAACAGGTGAATTGGGTGAAAGGAAATGCGCCCAAACACTTCTGTCCCGCCTGGGATTCAAACCTGGAATTCTTGGTCGTGTGTTGAAAATGAACCCAACTGTACTACTGGGACCCCTTTTATATATTAAATCTTACTTTGATAAAAAAAACTACCAGCATCGTTGTTAATTGTCTTGGCTGATCCTCCACAGCTAATCCTAATCCTCCTTAGCTAATCTAAGCAGCTGATCCTTTAGGGGTTAAAATTTGTTGTTGATATTGTTGTAAAAAATGTTCCTATTGTAATGATAAATATTGCACTTCTTGTGCAAATGCAACTTTAATGAAGTGAATGCATAAAAACAGAAGCTTACCTTTGAGATTGCCGATTCCTCTCTGTAAATGTTTGATTGGCACGAAGGCGAATTACCTCAGTCAAAAGCACACTACCTCAATTTGTGCCATTTTAAATTCAGAGACAGTTAACTTACTTTAAGTACAGGTAGAGTGCCTAGATTAATAATGTCAGTTTCTTAATCTAATGCTAGCTTACCTCTTGTGAATACCACTGCATCTTCTAGTGAATGTTAGCTTACCCCATATAGTTCAAGTCAGTTCTTTTACTGAATGTTTAATTATTCCATTGAACAGTATACCTTTCCTAGGCAAATGTTATCACCTCCCTTTTTCTCGTTTTACAGTTCATCTTGGTCTTCACATTCATCGACTACTCCCCATCTTTTTATGGTACGTACCACTTTCCCGTGTGGGCGGATGTCCTGGGTTGGGTGATCTCATTATCCTGCATTGCTGTCGTCCCAATTCGTGCAGCCTGGCTTATGGCTGGCAAGAGTGGACCTCTGTGGGCGGTGAGTGATTAATCCTTTTCATCATTTGATAGTGTGTGAGTATATGCTATACAATCTGCCTTTTTATCTCACTAGGTTCCATCAACAATAACTTATTTCCCCTACTCATTTGGCATCCAGTCTGTTCATTTGAGATAAGTTAAATAAGTTCCAGCTTATTCTGGGTATAATTATACAGTGATCTATCCTGTATACATTACCCTATCACTGGGTATAGTGATAGAATGAACAACCCATTGATTTTCTTCCTATTGGAAGAACATGCTACTATAGCGTATGTTCATTCATAGGATGAGTGGTGCTGCTTGATAACACACGCGCGCGCACACACACACACATCTCCATTATCCATTGACCATTGCACTTTCTCCCCTAACAGCGTGTGCAGCAGTTGTGCCGACCTGAGGCTGAATGGGGTCCTGAGAACAAGCGCCGCGACGATGCTTCTCTCAACTACATTGACTCCAAGACACCTCTGGCCTGCGGTGAGACCCCAGTTACACACACACACACACACAGTCTCTCTTTTTTTTCTTTTTCCTTTTTTAATGAAGATGGGCTCATTAGGAAAAAAAAGTATATATATATATATATATATATATATATATTTAATATTATACACATTCACACACAAATGTACGTGTTTGATGTTACAGATGATGAGGAGTATGAGATGGACCGTGAGTCTCCATACCTGACGAGGGTGTCGGAGGAATGGGAGGACGAGGAGGATGATGGTCTCCACATGAAGGCCCCCACTAGAGCCAAGGTCTAAACTACTGCATCGTGACACCACGTCCTTCTGGAGGCTGTTTGTGGTAACCAGAAGACCATGTGTTCCTGTGGTCTGCTAGTGGCTACCTTTGGGGAACTATGCAAGATGGCCTCCTCCTGATGTCTCCTAGTTGCAATTCAACTGGGTCAGGTTAGCCTGATGTTCTATAAAATATAGTGGCTATCAGATGGTTTGGCCTTACTTGGAGTCTCGTAATGGCTGCCTGTTTGGTCTGTAGTAAATGATCGAGTCCTTTCAGGGGGGCCTGCTAGTGGCTACTTTATGGGAGACAATGCCAAATGGCTTTGACCCTATTGGGACTATTGGTAGTTGGCCCCTTTTTATTTGTCTCCAATGTGGTACAATATCTCATTTAGACCAGCTGTCCCTGGTACTCTCATTAGCTTTCTGCCTGATACTGGTACTTATCTTACCAGGAGACCTTGCAGAAACTCACATCAATTTGACCTTTAGCGAAGAGCACTGTAGTACCTGTGAAGATCATTTATGTGACTCCATTGGAGCCAATCTTCCTCTGGAGATATACATTACCTAAGTGTAGATGATGTCATTTGCAGGTATAACAAGTCTCTTACAGGTGACCTTACCCTGAGATCGTAAACAGGGCTTCTCCTTATGGAGATGGTATTCCCCTTAAACATGGATTTAAGTAGCTATTGGTCATGGAGTAGACCTCAAATCCTCTACATACACGCTCTTTTTACCTATGTACCGGTACTTGTTGCGGGTCGTCGCAAAAGATTTTGCTCTGATAGACAAGGGAAGTCACACTTAAAGGATGCACTCCGTACGAATATAACCACCCACGACAGCCTGACTCGAATAAAAAACTAATTGTCATTCTAGTCTAGTTTTAACTTGATCTGTTTAAGGAAGTTGATTATAGTCCCATCAGTCTTGCTCACAAAGTTTCCATCCTCACATTAAGGTCTTAACAAAATTAAGCACCAAGACAAAACAAGCCAAGACAAAATCAACTTTCCCAATTACGTACTGTATATGCTGTTTAAACGTGAAAGCTCTCTCAAGTAATGAAACAAATAGACTTCTGTTAACAGAAAATATATTTCATAAGTTAAATTGGCATTTACATAATACGTCATTAAATAATGTACATTACTGTATCTATATACATTTCATTAACTCTGAGTATTTTATATATTTCATTAGGATTTAATGTACCATTGATTGCAATTTCCATAAATGTTGCCAATGTCTCTCATAAATATATATATATATTAATACAATACACACACACACACTTTATTTATCTTTTATTTATATTTATTTATTAGGTAATTAGACACACACTGTATATGCATTTAGTCAATTATATGCAAATATATATTTGTATATGTGTTCATGTGTGTTTTTGTGTGTAAACATTTGGGGCTCTAAGGTTGTCTTTGCCAGGGTGACCGTCGGGTTCCATGTGCAGGCCAGCTGATTACTGTTCCCTGTCCAAACAATATCCAAAATATTATAGATAAATGAAGACAAATTGATAAGACAATTAGAGAAAGGCAGAACCAATTAAAAAATTATGAAAGTACAGTAGACCTTTAGTGTATGGAGGCATATAGCATGGGCCTATCATTGCTAGGCTAGTGGGAATTGATTGAAAATAGGCCTCATTCAGCACGTTATACTGGTATAATTGACATCTAACTGATAGTGTTCATGAGAGTATCAGATATTTCTCAAAATATTTTATGGCTATTTCAATATAATTAAAATGTTTAGTTCATTGCATTCATTTTGAGCAATAAATAGCAGTATGGAAATGCTCACTCAACTGTAGTGAATTCTAAAATGTCTTGAAAATTACTTGAAATGTTCAGATGAATGAAAAACAAATGCTTGCAGAATTATATGAAAAGTATATTTTCTTCAGTAATGCAGGTGTTCAACCAGTTGAAAATGGCTTAAACAATATCAAGAATTGGAGTATAAATAAAACTTTGTTGACTGCAAATATTTTGTTTGCAATGTAAATGAATATGCACTGTAAATAAGAACAGAATTGCAATGTAATGAACTTAATGCAATGTACATGAACTTAGTTCACTGTGAATGTAACACATTAATTGTATTTTCAGTGATAATACAATACATTGTTTATTCAAAAGAATGTACTGTATGTACAAAGAACATATGAATAATGTACAATTGTAGGGACAGGAGTTACATAATCTGTGAAGCCACTATTACACCAAACATTTCAGGCAAAATAACATGTTGCCAAGCAATGTCTTAACACCACAAACTCTGTATGTTATATTTCATAAATATAATAAGTCTCTCAGGAGTCAAGCCTGGGCCCGGGCCGGGCATGTGGCCGGGCATGCGTAGAAAACTCCCATAACCTCCGTCAAGTTATGTCAAAGCATGGTAAGAACTGCCTAAAATTCACAATGGACCTTAAAAATGTCTTGCAATAATATCCAGTCTGTCATCTAGTTTTAGCCATTTGAAATACAGTATTGGAATATTAATAAAATCTTAAGACTGGCAGTGGACCTTTAACATTGCATGTGATAATATTTAGCAATGCAAACTGTCCAAATTTCTCCTCTATAAATACACCAATTATCCATGTAAAATATGTTCCAGTGTTGTGAATACAATATTTCTTTGCAGTGATGTCACCTCTTCCATTCCTGGGAAGTGAGGTGGGAAGGGAGGAAGGGGGGAGACGAGAAGTGGAGAAATGAGGATGGGGGATGGTATAGTAGAAGGTCACACCTCCAGCTCCATCCTACCCATCACCTCTGCCTCAGTCCATAGACCCCTTGTCACCTTCCCTCTGGGACTACAGACCCCTTGTCACCTTCCCTCTGGGACTACAGACCCCTTGTCACCTTCCCTCTGGGACCACAGACCCCTTGTCACCTTTGCTCTGGGATCACAGACCCCTTGTCACCTTCCCTCTGGGACCACAGACCCCTTGTCACCTTTGCTCTGGGACTACAGACTACTTGTCACCTTCCCTCTGGGACCACAGACCCCTTGTCACCTTCCCGTTACATTTGCTACACAAAAGGCACCCATCACTACAGGCAGCCTCCACCCTCCCTTCCTCCCATCTCTCCACCCCACATGAACAGAACTGAGACTCCAAGTGTGATCTCTGGGCTTGATTAAGGTCTCATGCATTTTGCAAGTACTGTACAGTATTACATACAGCACAATTAGTCATCGTCTGTCATTATTGTTTGGGTTTATATTGGCTACTGTTGCTCTAATTATACAAGTATTGTGACAAAACGTTTGGGGTTGTTTCAGTAGTATTGTATTCAAAAAGATCCCCAGATGCATCTGTAAGCTTGAAGTCAAACACCTCACACAGAGCATCATTCAAAAACACAAATTTCTCTCTTATTCTTGTTAGGTTAGGTTTGTTTATAGAGTAGTGATGGATTAACATGACTAGACTTGGAAAGACCATTTAAAACATTACTCGTTATTTATTACTATATGCGGTGCTGCACGAGATACAGGCTAATGTAATGAATCCAACTTGAATATTGACGTAGTTATCATTACATGTCACTTTGGTTAGGCTTTTATGAAGCGCGAGATTTGAATGCTTTTTATATCCCCCCCTTCTCTATCACACTCAGTGGTATAAAAGGTAGGCATTGTGGTACAGTAGTTATTTTGAGAGCTGCTTACAGGTGTGATGCCCTTTTGGACTTGATTCTGGTGGTATTCCAGGAAAATGTGACATAAATACTGGTACTTTGATATTGGAATGTCATGGAAATGTGACTTTTCAGACTTTATGCCAAAATTCCTTAGAAATGTGACCTGGGAACTCTTTGATACCAGTATTACATGGAAGATTTACCTTAACTATTTGACTTTGATACCAGTATTCCATGGAGCTGTGACCACTGTTGGATTTTGATACAGGTACCAGTATTTCATGGTACTGACCATTGTTAGATTTCCAGTTGTTGTTTCCTGGTACTGTGATACATTCAGATATAGGCACTGCAGCAGTTTTTCCTCGAAATGTCACAAGATTACACATGGCATTATGAATATTTTCTGGGATTGTGATCTGGTTGTACTCTATGCTGGTACTGCTTTACTTGAAATTTTGATAATCCAGGCCTAAAATGGCCTGGTATTGTAATGTGGTGTGACAAAACTTAGGACGGCAGGCATAAATTCTCCTTGGACAAAGCTGGGCAAATGACATTGATATAACAGGGAATTAATGTTTATCCTTTGTTGATTAAATGTTACTTGAGCATGGTCAGCATGTTGTGTTTGTTTTCTGAGCGTGTTCGTACTCATTTGGTGGGAAGTTAGTCCATGGGGGCTACTGCAGGTCTTACACTCTAACAGTGTTTGGTCGTAATTGTCAATTTATAACTAGCAGTTGCAGGTAATTGTATGGTTGGTGACATAGCCTAACATCTATACCTAGCCTCTGTGGTGTTGATGACATCGCTTAACATCTGTGTACAGTATGTAGCCTCTGTGTGGATGATGACAGCTTAACGTCTGTATATGTAGCCTCTGTGTGGTTGATGACGCAGTATAACATCTGTGTACATAGCCTCTGTGTGGTTGATAACGTAGCCTAACATCTGTGCAGCTTACAGAAAACTACCCACTAGTCATCCCTCAGAATGATAACACTGACGATGGTACTAACTTCTCGCCCGATAATTTAACATTCAGATAATACATTTTTGCTTTTTAGCGCAAAATATATATTTCATAGTTCCTGCAACGTCTTCACTCATCGAGAATGATTATAGAGCATTCCAATAACATAATAGATATAGCCATGGGCTTCTTCCAGGTTAAAGTGACCACCTTCATATCTGCAGTACTCTTCGTAATCTTTGATTTACTTAAGATTACAAGCTTGTGCCTGGTCATGCATGTGGAGGCCATGCGTGTGGAGGCCATGCGTGTGGAGGCCGTGTGTGTGGAGGCTGTGAAGGTGGAGGCCATGTGTGTGGAGGCCATGAAGGTGGAGGCCATGTGTGTGGAGGCCATGTGTGTGGAGGCCATGAGGGTGGAGGCCATGAGGGTGGAGGCCCTGAGGGTGGAGGCCATGTGTGTGGAGGCTGTGAGGGTGAAGGCCATGTGTGTGTAGAGGCCGCGAGGGTGGAGTTCTTGAAGGTGGAGGCCATACATCTCTTGGTGAACCTGGCTTCTTGTATTGTTAGCTTTTAGCACCGTTTCTGTGTTATAATGTAACTTAACACTGTTAGTTTAAGGCATGACATATATACAGTATACAGTGTAAAAAATATATATATATATATATATATATATATATATATATATATATATATATATATATATATATATATATATATATATATATATATATATATATATATATATATATATATATATATATATATATATATAATATACATATTATATATAATATGCAATTGATGATTTGCCCAATTTTCGGCCCAGGGTAACAATTTCTTCAACAATAGGCACTTCAGGTTCAGGCTCAAACCCCTCGAAGTCTAGTGCTGAAACACATTCAGGCCACAATTTAAGGATTGAACCTTACCACTGGCTTTCTTGGGACCCATGGCGAGATGTATAATAATAACTTTGATGTTCAAATACCCCAAAATCTGAAAAACATTGAAATTCTTTACAAAAAATTCAGGCGCGATTGTCACTAGGTGGGAGGCACTGGTAAACTGAGGCGTTTTTTTTTTTTTAGTTTAGTTCATTTATTATGCACCCCATACCCATCTTGTGGGCGGTAGTGGAAAGGGTTACAGAGGCACATAATGGGCTCAGGGACTGAACCCCACAATTCATTTAGCTAAGCAAGTTACAATCTTGATGAGCTAGTTACAAAATTCAATATAAGTCGTCACATCAACAATGGGTTTGAGATCGACCTCAAGTACAGGTTGCGATCGCCGTGCCCCAACGCGCTAGGTCAGCCATATGTGTGTCAACAAATTCGTTTCCCGAGGCAAAATTCGTAACTGATTCCAATTTTCCGAAGAAATTGGGCTCGTAACCCGAAAAGTTCGTAAATTGGGGCATTCGTAAGGAGAGGCGTCACTGTGTATTCAGGTATTTATATAATATATATATACATACATACTATGTATTTTTATTTATTTATTTAATGTACACTAAAGTACACTAAAACTGTAAATATTAAAGTTGCCTGTATTGATTATATTTCTCTAATATACATTGTACAGCCATATATGACCCATGTAAAGTCAAGTGTCACATGTAAAGCCATATATTTATCTCATTGACAAAGGTGGAAAGGTGAAGGCCTTGCCATCAGAGTGATACGCCGATGTTTTTGTTATAAGTGTACAGTCACTGTACATTACCAGAGTGCTATTCATATTTTGAAAGTGATATCGGGAAAACAGTAAGACCATATGTTATTTTTTATATAAATTGTATAAACTTGGGCAATAATATTGACCTCATACTTAAAATAACAATGACTTTTCTGGACTTCAAATTTTGATATACTGTAATAAGCTTTTCTAGAGTTAACTCTACTTATCATTGAAATATGTTAAATTGTGGATCCATGTTGCAAAGACCTGTGTTAGTCGGTTGGCTAATTTATCCCATTATAAGTCATTAATTAATTATATCATATATGTTACTAAGCTTAAGAATCAACTGCTACAATATTTATTTTATTAAATTCTACAATATTTATTCAGTCTTGGAAGATTTTATTTATATTCTTTACACTGTAATTGTAAATGTTTATATTTATAACTAAAATTGTGTAAAATACAGATTTATTGTTCATTGTTCTGTAAGATATATTTGTACTATGAGAATGTTTAGAAACTTCATGAATGAGGAAAGATGCAAAAAAAATAATTTGACAATTAATAATGTATTTTTTTAACAAATGTTGAGTAATGTGAGAATTATGATAATGAGAAGTAGACAGTTACATGCAGAACACCTATGATGTGATCCTCCAAGTGCCGTTAATAGCACGCAAGCCACATTGTGCACTCAACGATCTGCTAGTAGCAGGTCAGTTTTTGCTCTATATAGACAGTACCTGCAATGTAAATCTTCTGTGCTGTTAAGAGGCGGAGGAGGCCAGCTGTGCACCATACATGTAATACCTGCGATGCAAGCCTCCAGTGCTGGTATGAGGATCAAGCTAACTTGTACACTGTACACACAATACCACTAGGCCTTAACAGAATCCTCACATAAGCCATGTCATGGCTTTCTCATTTTATTTATTTATATATTCAAGAGTTAATACATTCTTGTACAGCCACTAGCATGCATAGCATTTCTGACAAGTCCTTAATCCTAATTTTCTCCATAATACGACCCACCAAATCGTTGAACAACCAGGTATTCATTCACTGCTGGTTAAACAGAGGTTACAGTTAAGGATTGGTGCCTAGTAAATTCTCTCCTGCCAGGATATGAACCCAGTCCAAAACGCTTGTGAAACGCCAGGCGACTGTGTTACCACTTCGCCACAGGCGATTACGTTATCACTTTGCCACAGGCGACTACTCATAATTCAAAGCTAAATATTATAGTGATTATTTGTCAATGATAAGAAGGCACACCCTGCCACTCCCACACTGTCACCTCAGTGCCAGAGTCTGGGGGTATTCCTGGGCTCTCAGACTGTCGCCAGTGTAGGAGTGTGCCACCCAGAGCAGGTAATGAGGCACCCAGAGCAGTGAACAATCAGTAGGTTACAACTGTAATGGCAGATTATTGACCAGACCCCACACTAGAAAGTGAAGGGACGACGACGTTTTGGTCCGTCCTGAACCATTCTCAAGTCGATTGTCTCCTGCCAGGACTATTCTCAAGTTGATTGATCCACAATCGACTTGAGAATGGTCCAGGACAGACCGAAACAGCATAGTCCCTTCACTTTCTAGTGTGTGGTCTGGTCAACATACTTCAGCCACGTTATTGTGACTCATCGCCTGTAATGGAAGCCAGTCATATACAGTATATATATATATATATAAAATACAGTATATCAGAAACAACTGATTCAACCATAGGGTGAAGTTTTTTTCTTTACAATAAATGTAGATGTTTACAGTTAAAAAGTGTTGTATCTTACAGCTAGATTTATAAATAGAAGGATATATATTAATATATAAATGTTAATAAGCTTGTTGCTTGCATTAAGTTTTAAATCTTTGTATCCTTCACTTGCCCCTAAACTGGTAATTAGAGAAAACGGCAGTGTCAGTGGCCTAATTTCTCGTGTATTGTCTAGCCAAAGCTTTTAATGAATTTTAGACTTAATAACTTCTAGAATAGATCAAAATTATTAGAGTAAACACCGGGTATATTGCATACGGTAGTACAGTAAACTATTTATTCTCTCGCGCTTCTACTGGCGTCATTTTCTCTTCAGACTGACTCCAGGGGGAACTGAACCGTTTGTGATGCTGATGTTGAAAATGCTCAAAGCTATAACCAGAAATTAACTGCTGTATCTATTTTTGTATTGCTATTGACAGCGTAATCATGCAGCCAAGAGATTCAAAGATTTTGTAAAATGAATTTGTTGTCAAATGTGGCTGGCATTGCACCAACTAAGGCACCCTTGACAAAAGGTCTTGAGCAAAGGGGTCTGATAAAGGGTGTATAGTTGAGGATTTAAATCATGCAAAAACCAGTTAAATTTAAAATATATTTAAGATTTTAAAGTTGCATCAAAACACTATTCGTTAAAAGTTAAGGCATTTACTGCTTAAAAAGAGAAGTGCACTTTGTAGTCCAGCCAGTAATAATAAGTTAATGGTGGGTGCTGTGAGTTGGAGAATGTGTTGTGCTGACACTTTTAGTAACAGTGACTTGGTGACACTTATAATATAAGTATAGTAGTTTGATAGCAATTACAGTGACAGTATTTAGGTGACTTGTAATTGCCGTATTTAGATGTTATATAATTGCAGTATGGTGTTAACCTTGTGATGGTGAGCCTTGCCGTGGTATGATGGTGACACAACCACTACTTTTCCTCATACACTGACACGTCCTTATCTGATACAATGACTATGACACAATGATCGAACCTGGTACAATGACCCCCAACACAACACGACACAACGCCCTGACCTGGTACGCTCGTCACCATGACCCAAATTGGCGCACTCTCCACAACAACCTCAACTGATACAATGATCATGACCAAAGCACACTGAACCAAGCAGATTTGACCACCTCATCACTACACTTAACACTTATAAGGACCAATGTTCTCTGCCTTTAAAGTAATCAGATTGTCTTCCTTCTCTTGGGTGGAGCCACTGGACAAAGAGATTGGTAATGTGTAGAGTTAGGAAAATATCACCACAGGTGTAGAACTATTCAGGTATTGCCAAGGGTGTATAGTTACACAGGTATCCAGAGTTTACCTGAGGGCCACTATATAGTGGCCTCAACATGGACAAGAAGCCTGCGGCTTGCCAAAGGTCCCCCCCATTTGTCCTGATGATTTAATCAAGCTGAGGTATACTAGTATATCACCAGGGTGTAGAGTTACACAGTAATATCACCAGGGTGTAGAGTTACACAGTAATATCACCAGGGGTGTAGAGTTACACAGTAATATCACCAGGGGTGTAGAGTTACACAGTAATATCACCAGGGTGTAGAGTTACACAGTAATATCACCAGGGTGTAGAGTTACACAGTAATATCACCAGGGTGTAGAGTTACACAGTAATATCACCAGGGGTGTAGAGTTACACAGTAATATCACCAGGGTGTAGAGTTACACAGTATATCACTAGGGTGTAGAGTTACACAGTAATATCACCAGGGTGTAGAGTTACACAGTAATATCACCAGGGTGTAGAGTTACACAGTAATATCACCAGGGTGTAGAGTTACACAGTAATATCACCAGGGTGTAGAGTTACACAGTAATATCACCAGGGTGTAGAGTTACACAGTAATATCACCAGGGTGTAGAGTTACACAGTAATATCACCAGGGTGTAGAGTTACACAGTAATATCACCAGGGTGTAGAGTTACACAGTATATCACTAGGGTGTAGAGTTACACAGTAATATCACCAGGGTGTAGAGTTACACAGTAATATCACCAGGGGTGTAGAGTTACACAGTAATATCACCAGGGGTGTAGAGTTACACAGTAATATCACCAGGGTGTAGAGTTACACAGTAATATCACCAGGGTGTAGAGTTACACAGTAATATCACCAGGGTGTAGAGTTACACAGTATATCACTAGGGTGTAGAGTTACACAGTAATATCACCAGGGTGTAGAGTTACACAGTAATATCACCAGGGTGTAGAGTTACACAGTAATATCACCAGGGTGTAGAGTTACACAGTAATATCACCAGGGTGTAGAGTTACACAGTAATATCACCAGGGTGTAGAGTTACACAGTAATATCACCAGGGTGTAGAGTTACACAGTATATCACTAGGGTGTAGAGTTACACAGTAATATCACCAGGGGTGTAGAGTTACACAGTAATATCACCAGGGGTGTAGAGTTACACAGTAATATCACCAGGGGTGTAGAGTTACACAGTAATATCACCAGGGTGTAGAGTTACACAGTAATATCACCAGGGTGTAGAGTTACACAGTAATATCACCAGGGTGTAGAGTTACACAGTATATCACTAGGGTGTAGAGTTACACAGTAATATCACCAGGGTGTAGAGTTACACAGTAATATCACCAGGGTGTAGAGTTACACAGTAATATCACCAGGGTGTAGAGTTACACAGTAATATCACCAGGGGTGTAGTTACACAGTAATATAACCTGGGTGTAGAGTTACACAGTAACATCACCAGGGTGTAGAGTTACACAGTATATCACTAGGGTGTAGAGTTACACAGGCATATCGCTAGAGGTGATCATATCTGCAAGTTATAACAAGATTTAGGTCTTGGACTTCACCATTGACCAATCAAAATCGAGACAAATAAAATTGTATTCAAACTTTTCTGCTTCTGTTTTATTTAGGTTCCTCTGGTGTTTTATAATTGTTATTAGAGTGATTGTTATTACAGCAGTAAATAGGTACCTGGGAGTTAGACAGCTGCTACGGGCTGCTTCCTGGGGAGGGAGGGGGGAATAGTAGTAACAGTTGACTGATTGACAGTTGAGAGGTGGACCGAAAGAGCAGAGCTCAACCCCTTTAAGCATAACTAGGTGAATAGAACTAGGGTAATACACACTTCAGGATGATACCCGGTTCCTCCCCCCCCCCCCAAGGTCAAACTACGTAATGACCTCCAGGTTGCAGTCCCACAACAGTTGTCTAACTCCCTGGTACCTATTTACTGCTAGGTGAAAGGAAAAGGGTTCAACCATTTTTTTTTACAAGGAAGAATGTCCTTCTGAATTGACCCTGGATAACCCAAAATTCTGTATGTCATACAACGCAGGCGAACATTAAAAAAATTCAAATTCGAATGTTTATTCAGGTAAAGTACATACATACAAGGTGTGAAACAAACATTGGTGGATTTATAGATTGAGTTAGTACATACAATGCCTAAAGCCACTATGACGCAAAGCGTTTCGGGCAGGAAAAACACTAAAGACTAAAACTTAATACTAATTGAGATTGAAGTATAAGTTGTGTTGAAAACATATAAAACATATATATGGTTAAAGCCCAGGACTAGAGCAAACTCATTATATAAAAAAAATTGGATACGCATCTTGGTACCTTACCTGAATAAACATTTATTTATTTATTTATTTTATTAATAAATAAAGTGGGCGCCGGCGGGAAAGTTCCTCAACTCGAGCGCTGATTGGCTGAGGCCGCGCGCAGCGCCGTCTGCGCCGCCCCCGGCCAGTGGGCGCCCCGCGGCCCGATCAGAACGTTGGCTCGTTACAGCTTCCCTTAATAGGTCAATATATACTGTAAACCGAAAGGTATACCGCGTTTCTTGGTGTATATACAGTGAAAGTTTACTTTAGTCCGGGCCTGCGTTAAGAACTAAAAGTATACTTTGGTGGTTGATCAGTAAAGTCTTGCGGTGATCTCCGTAACCTTCCAGAGGGTGATAAGCCTTAATGCGGTCGTGGACTTAGTAGCAAGATCAAGGTCGTGGACCCAGCAAGACTTAGTAGACCTCTGTGTACACCACCTCCCTCGTATACCAGGCTGGGAAGACCACAACCAGTTTACAGTGACCAACTTCACCCAGACTTAAGGTGAGTCTTATCCTTCCATTGTCTACCTCCACCTCCCCCCTTAGGGTGGGGGTGGGGGCACCACCACATATATCAATATGCTCTCAAATATATCTCATACCCAGCCTGTTTCCCTAAGTACTAATAGTACCGACGAGTACCATAGTACATTATCAGGTATATTTCGGACGATATGAAGTGAATAGTACCAAATTCTTTTTTAATTCTTTACTACGTCAATATTTGTACTTAAAGTCTTTCTGTACTATCTAAGGTATGTGTGTGTGTGTGTGGTGGTATAGCTGGGGTCTGGTCTCGACTCGTGATTGGGAATCCCAGGTTCGAATCTCGGTAGGACGGGGGGGGGGGGGTATGGAAGGGAACTAGCAGAAGAAAACAAAACGCTAAGTCTTTACGACTATATAGCACCTGGAAAGGATATCAAGATATGAATATGGGATGGGACGAAGGGGGGGGGGGAAGGAATGGTGGCCCAACCACTAGGACGGTCGGGGATTGAACGCCGACTTGCAGGAAGCGAGACCGTCCCTCTACCGTCCAAGGTGGGGGGGGAGTGCTGGACAGAAATGGTTGGGTGCATTTCCTATTACCTAATGTCCCTGTAGATTAAAGATTAAAGCAAGATTAGAGATTCTAACACGAATCTTCTCAATATTTCTTACATTTCTCTTCACTGTCTAGGGTAGTTGAAAAATTAACTCTCCAAAGCTCATTTTCACGTTTTATTTATGGTCTGACGCCTAGAAAAGTTTCGCAAGACACTTCTTACATTTTCAAAGACGTTTTTCACCTTCTCTGTTTCATGCTTATTTTCGTTTTTGGGTGAGGTGATAGGACACAAATTATTGGGTAAAGACAATTTTACATACTCTTAATTTTTTGGGGGTGAGGTGACCAAACACGAATCAATAAGTACATTGATTCATGTTTTCTCTTTTTGCTTCTGTGTTGCCAAAACCAACCTTGTGCACTCTTGGCCGGGCCTGGTGCACTCTTAGGACTACCTGATGCACTCTTAGGACTACCTGATGCACTCTTAGGACTACCTGAGGCACTCTTAAGACTACCTGATGCACTCTTAGGACTACCTGATGCACTCTTAGGACTACCTGATACACTCTTAGGACTACCTGAGGCACTCTTAGGACTACCTGATGCACTCTTAGGACTACCTGATGCACTCTTAGGACTACCTGATGCACTCTTAGGACTACCTGATGCACTCTTAGGACTTCCTGATGCACTCTTAGGACTACCTGAGGCACTCTTAGGACTACCTGATGCACTCTTAGGACTACCTGATGCACTCTTAGGACTACCTGATGCACTCTTAGGACTACCTGATGCACTCTTAGGACTACCTGATGCACTCTTAGGACTACCTGATGCACTCTTAGGACTACCTGATGCACTCTTAGGACTACCTGATGCACTCTTAGGACTACCTGATGCACTCTTAGGACTACCTGAGGCACTCTTAGGACTACCTGATGCACTCTTAGGACTACCTGATGCACTCTTAGGACTACCTGATGCACTCTTAGGACTACCTGAGGCACTCTTAGGACTACCTGATGCACTCTTAGGACTACCTGATGCACTCTTAGGACTACCTGATGCACTCTTAGGACTACCTGATGCACTCTTAGGACTACCTGATGCACTCTTAGGACTACCTGATGCACTCTTAGGACTACCTGATGCACTCTTAGGACTACCTGATGCACTCTTAGGACTACCTGATGCACTCTTAGCACTACCTGAGGCACTCTTAGCACTACCTGATGCACTCTTAGGACTACCTGATGCACTCTAGGACTACCTGATGCGCTCTTAGGACTACTCTTGTAATGTCTGGCAACCAAAATCTACTTAATTATATCCATATTAATAGTATATTTCAAGGTAATTAGTTGAATATTTTGATCTGGCAGTTTATTTAGAACTACTGAGACTAGTGCAGTTAAATCGTATAATTATTATTATCATTAAAAGATGCAGTGAATTTAATATAATACATTAATAGTAATATCATTCAATAATTTTAATAATAATAATATAATATAATAATAGTAACTATTATTCCTTTTTTTATTTCATAGAACTAAGAGAGAAAATGGGTATCAATCTTCTCATTTTCTATGACGGTGCTGCAAGGTGGCCACACTCGTCTAATTTGTTCTCATTTTTACTGGCGTTCCACACAATTTTATGTTAATATTCCGTAAATAGAAAAGCTATCCAAAAATCATTAAATGATATATATAATAACATTAACAATTGAAATAATAGTAAGGATATTGCAACATTTGTTATAGTATATGCAAGTATTTATATAAAGTATACTATATTAAAAACTAATTAGAAGCAACCAAGCACAAATATGGAAACTTTGAAAGGTCAAAGTATTCAGTTTTGTGCGTGTCTAATATATCCAAATTTTGTACTTATTTATATTGTTAATCACATAAACCAAATAAATTTTAAATATCTCTTCATCTCGGTTTTATATATAAATAAATCACGCCTTTATATATACAGTACAAGCGCGTTTTATATATATTTAAAAGTCTTAGGTCGATACATTAGGAACTTAGCCTAGTGGTAAACAGGTATGTGATCTTTAGGCTAATGTGAATTTCATCCTGGATTGGTTAGAAATTGTTATTAGGGGTATTTAGTTCATTTATTATGCACCCCATACCCATCTTGTGGGCGGTAGTGAACACGGTTACAGAGGCACATAATTGGCAGCCTTAATAAATGTAATAGGTTGCCTGTCCGCAAGAATAGGAATTGAAGAATAATGAAAGTTAATTGCTGTATACCTGTCTGGTATACATGGGTATTACTGTTTACCTGTTACATATGAAAGATAATGCAGGTAAACTGATTGTGCATATTGGGTAGTTAAGTATACCTCTGATATCCTAATATTTTTTAGTGGGTACGATATTAATTTTTTTTTTTTTAATTTTTACTTTGTCTTTTCCTTCTGTTGTTGGTCGTTATTTTGTTGTTGTTTGTCCTGTTCCTTTTGTTGATTAGTTCCTTCTTTGCTGTTATTATCCTTTGCTTCTCCCTCTTGCGATGTATTCAGTCTCATATTTCTTCCCACTTTCTCTTATCTCTTATCTTTTCAGCTTTTCTTTATTTCTCGCGACACATCTCTCGTTACATGAAACCGCCGGTGGAAGGTGACCTTCAGATTAAGATATACTCGATCTTGTCTGTCTGTCTGTGACTTGTATATAACGTCAGCCACCAATGTTATTAGTATTCCTTAGCGTGTAAATATTGAGGTGAGAGGGGAGCGAGTGGTGTCTGTACCTGCGTCTGTCTGTCTCTTGCTATGTGGCTGTCTGGTAAAATGACTGTCTGTCTGTCTGTGTCTCTATATGCTACAATGTATTGTGTCCATGTGTTGCCGTCTCTGTGTCTGTCTGATATGGTGTCTGTTATTGGGCCAGCAACGGTTTCTGTCTCTATTACGGTCTCTGTCTATATGTATCTGCTTCAGTCAATATTTCTTTTGCGGTCTGATTGTCTGTCTACTATGGTCTCTGTCTCCGTGTGACGGTGGACTGACAGGCGCCGCTTGTTCATGCCATTAGACAGTCGTCAACGTATCCATGATATAACCATGACTGTGGTGGGAAGCGTAAAGGGGGGGGGGATAGGGGTGTCATGATGTTCATGGTATTAGATCCTTTTCAATTTCCATGGTTGGTGCGACCGGTTGAGAGGTGGGCATGGCTGGTTGAGAGGTGGGCGTGGCTGGTAGAGAGGTGGGCGTGGCTGGTAGAGAGGTGGGCGTGGCTGGTAGAGAGGTGGGCGTGGTGGCGGGAACTTACTTAGGTGGGTTGCTACTACAGATGGAGCAGAGGATGGAGTCGGATCTTGTGCAACACATACACAATATGATGAGAAACACCATACCTGTAGGAAGGCAAGGGGGGGAGAGAAGGGGGTTAGTTTGCTCACTCTTTCCTTACTGTATTCGCTACTCACTTGTTACCCTCGCTCTATGGCAACTATTTTCACAACAAGTGAATATAGAGAATAATAACCAGTGATTATTAACCAGTGGTCTCTCTCTCTCTCTCTCTCTCCACTTCGTCCACTCACCGCAGAAGGAGGGAAGAGTAATGTAGACCAACTTGTGGAGGCTGGTCCCCGGCACTTTAGCCATGTCCACAGGAGTGATTTTGGGATTCGTTCCTGGAATACCAAACATATATATATATATATATATATATATATATATATATATATATATATATATATATATATATATATATATATATATATATATATATATATATATATATATTATATATATAATTTTAAGGAAACGGAGTGATGTAAATTCTACATTCTTGAATGCGATGAGACCAGGTCTAAAAATGTTGGAATTTACAATTTTGTATAAATAAAAAAGTTTTCTATCTATCTGGTGATATTAACCAGGCACACATCACCTCTAGCTAATTGTAAAGGTTTAAAAATAATTTTTTTTAACCTGTTGGGTAACTTCTTTTTTAATTCTCTTAATTTTTTATAGTGATATCGTCAAATTGACATTAGTCTCAGTGTGCCATTATGCACCAAATGTGGCGGAAGGCTACATATTATTGGCATAAGGCTTGGTCTTAGCTTTTAGCATGAGGCTAGTCTTTAATGTTTTTCCTGCCCGAAACGCTTTGCGTAATAGTGGCTTTAGGCATTGTATATACTAGCTCTATTTATAAATCTATCAATTTTTGTATGACCTCTTGTATGTATGTACTTTACCTGAATAAACATTTGAATTTGAATAAACTGATGCTAAAAGATGAGTGTAGCCTCAAAATTTACACTGTTGTAAATTACCTTTGGTGATGTCCTCCGTGTCTATGGGGTATTTTGTGCCTGTGACGGGGTGGTGACATGTCATTGGCACAATGGTGACATTGCAGCGGCACAACAGTGGCAGGGTGGCACAGCAGTGGCAGGGTGGCACAGCAGTGGCAGGGTGGCACAGCAGTGGCAGGGTGGCACAGCAGTGGCAGGGGTGGCGACACAAAAAAACAAGACCAAAATTAGCAATAAGGGTCCCAGTAGTACAGCCGGATTCGTTCTCAACTCAGAATCGGGAATTCCGGGTTCGAATCCCGGGCGGAAGAGAAATGGTTGGGCACGTTTCCTGTCATCCACTCTCGATATTCACCTAGTAGTAAATAGGTACCCGGGAGTTAGTCGGCTTGTTGCATCCTGGGAAAGATCAATAGTTCTACCTTGGGGGGGGAGGGGAAAGACCTGGATATAAGCCTAACGTGTATATATACACAGGCTGCCTGTCCCCCGACACAACGACTTATTGTACCATTAACACCGTCATGCTATAAGGGTCAAAGTGGGTAGTAAGAAGAATGAATTTCAGCCATAAGTAGAAGCCCACAAGATCTCCAAAATTTCATTACTCATGTGTAAGAGAATCTCCTGATGTATAATTTCAGGAAAACTCGGCTTATTAGGCAATTTGGCCTATTAGGCACACCTTATATGTAGGCTGATATCGAGGTCTCCCCATGGTCGAACTATTGGGCAGTCCCTTAGCTTTTGACTAACTCCCAGGTACCTATGTTCTGCTAGGTCAACAGAGGCAAGAGGTGATATGAAACGTACCCAACTGTTTCTGTCTCGTCCGGGAATCGAACCCGGTATACGCGATTGAGAGTCGGGAACGAACCCGTACCGCAAGTAGATGGCAGCTTCAGCAGCTACCTGACAGAAAATAATTGAAACTATAAGGAAACTTTCGAAACTTTGTCAGGGACAGGAAGCCTGTGTATATACTTTGGCTTTTTTTCGAGGTTTCCTCCCTATCATGGAAAATTTAAGATGGAAAACTTGTGGGCTTACATCCTAACCCCCCCCCCCCGCCCTTCAGGATACAAACCCACAATAGTTGCCTGACTCCCGGATCAATACTGCTAGGTGAACAGCTGCATTAGGTGAAAAGAAACATGCCAAATCATTTCCATCCCGCCCGTGAATCGAACCCAAGATCCACGATTGTAAATCGAGGACAAAAACAACTCATCCGGATCCCTTAAAGACCACACACCCAACAGCGGCCAGCCAGCTTCCTGTTCCAGCGCCTCAGTGTCGCGACCCAGAGGAAACGCCAGCTTAACCTTGTGTGTGTTCCCTACGTCAGCAGCGCCTCATTTGGTTTTCTAACAGTGACCCCTATATGTCTCTGTGTTTTCTATACACTGTAGTTCAGTGTAGCCACAAAAATTTAATGAATCAATTATATTGTATCAATTATATTGTATTGTATAAATGGCTCGTTTGTTCAGCTGGTGTTGGCAGATTCGTGATTTGCAGGAGAGTGATTAATAGGAGTGATTATCAAACCTTAACTACCCACACCGTCAGTGTGGATAGGTTAGGTCTGCAATGATTGTGGTATTTGGTATGGCTATAGGCTGTTGCCATTAAGGAATGGCAGTAGTGTTGGTGGCACATGTGGTCCCTAATTGTGGCATTAGTGATGAACATGTGACTGTTTTGCCAGTGATGTGGTGGTGGCACTTTTCACACTAGAGTGCTATACCGATGATGATACTCTTCAAGACGCTAGTGCTCTCTAGAGTGGAGTACTGCTGCACAATGACAGCCCCTTTCAAAGCTGGAGAAATTGCTGACCTGGAGAGCGTGCAGAGACCCACTGACAATACCAGTGTGGTTAGTAATACTAGTTAGCTATTGGTAGAGGCTGGTTAACGATAGAGGCTGGTTAGCGATAGTGGTTGGTTAGTGGTAGAGAATGATTAGTGCTATAGGCTGGTTAGTTCTAAAATCTGATTAACGATTGAAGCTTGTTAGTGGTAGAGGCTGGGTAGCGGTAGAAACAGGTTAGTGGTAGATGAGACTATCACCATTAGTAGTAATTGTGGTAGAGGCGACATACCTGGACTGGTTGTGTTAGTTGAGTTCACTCCCGCTCCTCCTGTGTAAATGAAAGTGTTAAGTGTTAATTAACACGTATTTACATAGTCATTTAACATCATAAAGTTCTCAAAATTCTCGCGCAAGCCATAGAGAACAAAGAACTCGAAATGATCCAGCCAGGATTCGAACCCATGACGACCAGGATCACTCCCAAACGTGCAAGGGTTGATACTGGCTGGTGACAGAGGTAGTGTAGTGGCGATTGTGGTTATAATGGTTTGTGGTAATAGTGGTTGTGGCCAGTGATAGTGGTAGTAGTTAGTGGTAATCTTGATGCGCAAGATGGCTTATGGTCGCGGTGTTGGCTGGTAATAGTGGTTGGGACGTATGGTGGTGGTAATTGTGGTGACTAGTGGAAGTAATGGTATTGTCTGGTGATAGTGGTAGTGATTAGACAAAGTGCTGGTAGTAGTTGTAGCCAGAATGATGAACTATGGTAATTAGCAAGTGTGGCGGCTGCAGCATACCTTTGCTAGTAGTGTTCCCAGCTGCACCTGTGTAAATGAAAGTGTAATTAGTGTTGATTAGTGTTTACAAAGGTAAATAACCAACTCTGGAATATTTTGAGGTGTTTGAAGTCCCTTTAATGCATTTTAACACCTTTATAGCGCATACTAGGTGATTGGTAGACACTTGTGGTGGCAGTTGTGGTTGTGGGCAGCTGACAGTGTTGTAATGACTGATCGTGGTAGTTGTATCGCATCAATATAGAGTTGCCATTATGGCATCAATATAATTGAGGTTGGAATTGCCATATATAGCTTTTATGGTAGATATATGAGTGGCAATGTTGGTAGACGAGGTTTGTGGACTGGTGGTAGATGTGGTTGACAGTGGTAGGGGTTAGTGGTAGATGTATTTAACGTGATTGATAGTATTATGGATAGTGGTTGACACAACTTTGAGTAACAATAAGTGTGTATGACACTGGTTGTGGTTGCAGTGTGGTTGACACGTGTGGTGGTAGAGACTTACCTGTGGTGGTTGTGTTAGTTGTGTTCCCAGATCCACCTGTGTAAATGAAAATGTAAATAATGTCGATTATCTCGTGTTTACAAGGTCATGAACCAAGTCAGTTAATTGATGAATTGGTAAATCACCATGTTAAAGTATTTGTAAAAGATTTTGTTAAATATTAGTGGTCTGTTTACGTAAAGATATGACATTGGCACCTTTGGTGGTAGTTGTGGTTGTGGTTAATTGGTCAATAATGGTTGTTAATGATAGTTATTACAAAAACAGTAAAGAGAGTTGTAGTGGTTGACGAACTACCAAGTGCTAGTATGTGGTTGGCAGTGGTAGTAGATTTGATTGACAGTTGTGGTAGATATGGTTGACATTTGTGGTAGTTGTGGTTAGCAGTGGTACTGATAATTGTGGTAGCTGGAAAGGTAAACAGTGATTTCAGAGATGGTTATCAGTGGTAGACTTTGTGGTAGAACCAGTAAGATCTACCACAAGAACGTGCTGGTCCCATCAGGGTGACAGTGGTAGGAATTGTGGTAGATATTGCTGATAATTGTAGTCATTGTTGGAAGTGCAGCTGGTAGATGTAGTGCCACTGAGATAGTTGTTATAGTGATGGTGGTAGATACGTGTGGCAGTGGGAGGAATAGTAGGGGTGATAACATTGATTGTGGTTGGTAATTGTTGTAGTGGTGACTTACCTGGGCTGGTTGTGTTAGTTGTGTTCCCAGCTGCACCTGTGTAAATGAAAATGTAAATAATGTTGATAATCGCGCGTTTACAAAGGCAATGATTGTCAGGAAATTTACACTTATGCCCCCCTTGTTATATCCCATTAAATAATATAAATAAACATGTTATCAAATCAGGATTCATCAATTATTTACGCACCCACAGACGAAACATTTACATCTTTCCTCAAACAAAGCGGCTTTGCTTTCATATATTTAACAGTTTATGCGACCCGAAGTACTACGAGATTTTTAACAGTGATGACTTTGGGTTCTGAAGCTTTCAAGGTCGTAAACTGTCTAATAAGTGTAAACAAAGCCTTTTGGATTAAGAAAAGATGTACAGGTTTCGTATGCTTGGTTGATCTTGGCCCCAGGGGTGTAGAACTGCGGTACCACTTGTGTCAGTACTGATAGTGAATAGTAGTTAGTACATGAGAGCTTGCTGGTGGTAGATGGTGGTATACACGTTAGTAGTTGTTAATGGTGGTAGACGTACTTGTCAGTGGTAATAGTGATTGGAATTGTGGTTAGGTTATCTTGAGGTTATCTTGAGTTGATTTCGGGGCTTTTAGTGTCCCCGCGGCCCGGTCCTTGACCAGGCCTCCACCCCCAGGAAGCAGCCCGTGACAGCTGACTAACACCCAGGTACCTATTTACTGCTAGGTAACAGGGGCATTCAGGGTGAAAGAAACTTTGCCCATTTGTTTCTGCCTCGTGCGGGAATCGAACCCGCGCCACAGAATTACGAGTCCTGCGCGCTATCCACCAGTCTACGAGGCCCCTCTGGTTGTCAAGAGTGGTAAACATGGTAGATGTGAATGGTTGTTGGGTGGATTGGCATTGGTAGTGGTGGTGGAGGGGTTGTGGTTACCAGTAGGGGGGATAAGAAGGACTGTCTTTGTCTGTTCTGGTTGTAGAATGGTTGACACTGGTGAACCACTGGAACTGGTGTGAGTGGTAGATGTGGTAGATATGGTAGTTAGAGTGGTAGATATACCTTAAATTATCCTTAAGGTACATCTTACCCACAACCCATTATATATATCCATATATAATGGGTTCCATTATATATATCCATATATAATGGGTTGTTATATATGGATGTATATAATGCCTTATATCCACCTCGTTAAATAGAAGCGATTACATATAATGGGTCCCGCTTATTAACCCAGTTGGTTTTTTTAGGAATTTTGGTTGTTATTTGTGGTAATTATAGGTTTAATTGGTAGTAATGATAACAAGCACATTCAGCGGTGGTGGTAGTGGTGGTAGATGAGGTTGTAAATTGTGGTTGTAAGTCTATGTGATTGCTAGTGGATGTGATGGTGGTGGAGGCGATTGGGTAATAGTGATAGTGGTGGCAGTGGTTCAGTGGTGGTGGTAGTTGTGGTTTTGCTGGTGGTGGCAATGATAGTGGTTACAGTGGTGGTAGTGGTAGTGTTTTCAATGGTGGTGGTAGTGGTAGTAGTGGTTTTGCTGGTGATGGTAGTGGTGGTAGTAGTGGTTTTGTTGGTAGTGGCAATGATGGTGGTTTCAGTGGTGGTGGTGGTGGTGGTTTCAGTGGTGGTGGTGGTGGTGGTAGTAGTGGTTTCATTGGTGGTGGTGGTAGTGGTGGTTTCAGTGGTGGTGGTGGTGGTAGTGGTGGTTTCAATGGTGGTGGTGGTGGTGGTTTCAGTGGTAGTGGTGTTGGTAGTGGTGGTTTCAGTGGTGGTGGTGGTGGTAGTGGTGGTTTCAATGGTGGTGGTAGTGGTGGTTTCAGTGGTAGTGGTGTTGGTAGTGGTGGTTTCAGTGGTGGTGGTGGTGGTAGTGGTGGTTTCAATGGTGGTGGTAGTGGTGGTTTCAGTGGTAGTGGTGTTGGTAGTGGTGGTTTCAGTGGTAGTGGTGTTGGTAGTGGTAGTAGCAATAGTTTCATTGTGGTTGGTAGCTGTCCACATCCAACCTACCTGGGCTGGTTGTGTTCCTAGCTGCACCTGTGTAAATGAATGTGTAAATAAAACTTTTACAAGGTTATGAATCTTTGTATAATCTTCAAATGTTAAAACACTTTATTTTACAACCAATGATTTTACAACTGTGATTTACAGTGACATTTTATAGTGGCAATAGTGGTAGATGTAAATTAAAGTGAGAATAATGATATATGAAATTTACAATAGTAGTAGATGCCATTTACAGGAGCAATAGTGGTAGATATGACTTAAGAAACAATAGATATGACTTAAGAAACAATAGATATGACTTAAGAAACAATAGATATGACTTAAGAAACAATAGATATGACTTAAGAAACAATAGATATGACTTAAGAAACAATAGATATGACTTAAGAAACAATAGATATGACTTAAGAAACAATTGATATGACTTAAGAAACAATAGATATGACTTAAGAAACAATAGATATGACTTAAGAAACAATAGATATGACTTAAGAAACAATAGATCAGTGTTGGTAGTGACTATTGAAGCCTAATGGTTGGTAATGGTGGTAGTAACTACCTATTTACCAGTATCAGTGGTGTTTACAACCCTACCTGTGCTTGAAGACAATTCGTAGATAATGACCAGCAGCTGTTGTCTGAAGATCAATATCTACGCAAGATCTTATATGATCTACTTAACCTAGATCTACCACGATCTACTTAGCCTAAATCTACTACGATCTACTCAACCTAAATCTACTACACGGTATTCAGGTGTGTCAAATACGCCCCAAGAATCAGTTCTTGAGAATTATTTTAGATTCTCGTGTCGGTAAGGAATAGTAGGTGTACCGAAATTGTGGTAGCTGTGATGGTGGTTATGGTTGTGTTAGGACTGGTAGTGGTTATATGAACTCGATAGTGGTAGTTGGGTGGTTGTAGGTGTTGTTACCGGTGAATCAGTTTGGTGGTAGAAATAATGGGGTAGTTTTCGTGGATACTGTTGCCAATGGTGGTAGTTGTGGTAGATGTTGGTAATTATAGGTGTTGTAGCATATATTGTCATTGACTGACAGGTGTTAATTCTCGAATGCGTAGATCTTAGTTCATTATCGTAGAAATTGCAATAGAATATGGTCTTAATGGTAGATACAAGTGTAGTGGTGGTAGATGTGGTAGTAGATGAGGTTGCTAGTGGAAATGATGCCCCGTAGATGAGACTGACAGTGGTGTGAGCAGAGGTAGATAATATTATTAACAACATTGGTGTTAGTGGTTGCATGACAGTGGTGGTAGTTCACTCTAGTTGCATGTTGTTGAGTGATTGTTGTAGTTGTGACTTACCTGGGCTGGTTGTGTTACTGGTTGTGTTCCCAGCTGCACCTGTGTAAATGAAAATGTCAATAATGTTGATTATCAAGTGTTTACAAGTCTATAACGAGTCAATAATTCTTTCAGTTCTTTAAGAATATATATATATATATATATATATATATATATATATATATATATATATATATATATATATATATATATAATATAATATAATATTATTGAGTATGATAAAAAGTGTGAGATGAATGATTTTAGCGCGAATCTTCTCTATTTTTCTCATGTGTTTCTTATCTTGAGAAGGAAGTTGAAAAATTAACTCTCCAAAGTTCATTTTACAACTTTGTTTGGCCTGATGCTAAAAGATGCGTTTTTTGAACTCTTGTTAGCATTATCAAAGGCAGAGTTCGAATATTTACATATCTCTGGTGGTGACCTGGTTATGTATAGAGACTATATGTTCCTCGATAGGGCCTTGCTGATTGTGCATTGTTAGGCGTCTTGAAAGGGATGTTGTCTTGCCTATATATTGAGTTCGTAGGGGCTGACAGTCCCCAAGTGGGCGTATGAAGGCATAGATGACATTTGTCTCTTCAAAGGGTTTTGTTTGGTGTCAGGAACGGTTTTTATTAGCAAGTTGGTGATCTTGCTTTTATAGTATTTGTTCAATACCTTATTAATCAGGACCTACTTTACTGCATCGAATTCCTTGTCAACTGGAGCCGTGTGTAAGGGGGCGGGTGAGATTAGCGTTGACAACACTCCACTTGTACCTATCAGAGCACACACTTTTAGCATTAAGGCTATGTTGGTTTCCTAAGTTTAGACGGCAGTGTGAGAGCCACTATTCCTCTCTCAGACTGTTACATCTAGGCAAGGTAGCCTACCTGGTTGATAGGTAGGCTACCTATCACCTAAGAGATAGCGGCCTTGACGGGGACAGGATACCGGCGGCTTGCCAAAGGACCCCCCCTCATTTGTTCAGATGATTTTATCGAATTTGATTTTGAATTTCAGTAATATTTTGACATTTACAGCTTCGGCGGGTAGGCGGTTCTATGGGTGTATATACCTATGGGGGAAAAAACATCTCCTGTTTTATGCCCCACATTATGGTTTGTTGAGCTTGCAACCGTTGCTTCTTGTTTGTGTTACATCTGACCTTGTATAGAAGTGGTAATCTTCTTGAGGTTATCTTGAGATGATTTCGGGGCTTTAGTGTCCCCGCGGCCCGGTCCTCGACCAGGCCTCCACCCCCAGGAAGCAGCCCGTGGCAGCTGACTAACACCCAGGTACCTATTTTACTGCTAGGTAACAGGGGCATAGGGTGAAAGAAACTCTGCCCATTGTTTCTCGCCGGCGCCTGTGGTTTGGTGTGGTTCAATATCCTCCAAATTGTTTAGTATTTTAAAAGTTTCGATGATACCAGCTCTATCATGTCCGGTTTGTAGTATGAGGGTCGACTTGGTAATGGTATTAATGGTGGTTCTTGTGGTTGTAAAGCTGGGTGTTTGTAGTAAATGTGGTTGGCAGTAGTATCAGTGGTTGATCCTACTTTCAGTGGTAGCAGTAGAGAATGGTCTGTCTAACACTGGAAATAATAGTTTTTGATGTGACTGTCAATTACAATGGTAGTGACATATATCTAATAGTGGTATTAATGGTGGTTCTTGTGATGGCATGGTTTGGTGCTGATAGTAGATATGGTTGCTGTAGTATTGATGGTATATGTGATAGCAATTGATGTGACTGGCACTTCAAGCGACTGAGATAATTGACAATCTTGGTGGTGGTGATGTTGTAGATTGGCTTTCATCAGTTGAAGTGGTTGTGGTTGTAGCGTAGATGGTAACTGTTGTAGACTTACCTGGGCTGGTTGTGTTAGTTGTGTTCCCAGCTGCACCTGTGTAAATGAAAATGTCAATAATGTTTATTATCTCGTGTTTACAAAGTTAAAATGAATCCAGGAATTGTGAAAATTGAAAACTCACTTTGTATTATGTTGGTTAAGTTATAAATATATATATATATATATATATATATATATATATATATATATATATATATATATATATATATATATATATATATATATATATATATATATATATATGGGCAGATTGTTAGAGTGAGGACAGTGGTTGTGCTGACTTTAGCTTTAGTTGTTTGATAACAGTTTGTTAATGGTAGAAGATAAACACATTAGTAGTGGAGCTGAGTGGCAGTGGCAGTGACATTAACTAGTACTGCTGTTAATGGTGCTCCTTGTAATTGCAAGTTTTGGTGCTTGTGGTAAATGTGGTTGGGAGTAGTATTAGTGGTAAATGTGGTGGTGGTTGATGTGGTTGACAGTGGATGTGTGCTTTGTGACTCAGTGGTGGTGGTAGTGATTGGTGAGGAAGTAATAGTGTTTGATATGAGTTGTGGTTGTAGTAACAGCAGTCGATGTGACTGGTAGTGGTAGTTAGTCTGGTTAATGGCTCTAGCAGTAGTTGTAACTGAAGCGGTTGTCATGAGTAGCAGTGGAATAATAGTGGTTGATGTATCTGATAGTGGTAGTACTTGCAATTGATGTTCCTTGCTGATGTAGTAAGAATTAGTGATGTTACTTGCTGTGGTAGTAACAGTTAGTGATGTGACTGTCAATCGTATCAGTAACGGCTGATATGATGAGCAGGTGAAGCAAGACTGGTTGATAAGACTGGCAGTGGTAGAATGATTGACGTGGCTGGCAGCGGAGGTGGTGGTGATGTGACTGGGTAGTGGTAATAGTTTGCAGGTGATGTGACTGGCAGTGGCAGAATTAGCAACTATTGCAGACTTGTGGCGGTGTGGTCGACGACCGGGCCGCGGGGACGCTAAGCCCCGGAAGCACCTCAAGGTAACCTCAAGGCAAGGTAAGGTTTTATGAGTGGTTAATGTGACTGGCAGTCTTAGAAGAGGTTGATATAATTGACAATCTTGTGACACTGGCTTTCATCAGCAGTAGTAATAGTGGTTGCAGTGGTTGTGGTTGTAGCGAAGATGGTTATTGTTGTAGTGGTGACTTACCTGGGCTGGTTGTGTTAGTTGTGTTCCCAGCTGCACCTGTGTAAATGAAAATGTCAATAATGTCGATTTTCACGTGTTTTCAAGGTTAAAATGTGTCGCGGAATTCTGACAATTGACAAATCTCATTGTATTGTGTTGGTTAAGTTATATATATGGGGCAGATTGTCAGGCGATTAGGACAAGGTTTTGCTGATTTTAGTTTTGAGGTTGTGAATGGTAGTGATTAAAGACGCTAGTGGTAGTAGAGGAGCAGGACTTGGAGTGGTTATAAGCCAGGATAGTCCCAGAATGTCTTGATGTAGAGTTAATGTTGTGTCAATGTCTTGATGTAGAGTTGATGTTGTGTCAATGTCTTGATGTAGAGTTGATGTTGTGTCAATGTCTTGATGTAGAGTTGATGTTGTGTCAATGTCTTGATGTAGAGTTGATGTTGTGTCAATGTCTTGATGTAGAGTTGATGTTGTGTCAATGTCTTGATGTAGAGTTGATGTTGTGTCAATGTCTTGATGTAGAGTTGATGTTGTGTCAATGTCTTGATGTAGAGTTGATGTTGTGTCAATGTCTTGATGTAGAGTTGATGTTGTGTCAATGTCTTGATGTAGAGTTGATGTTGTGTCAATGTCTTGATGTAGAGTTGATGTTGTGTCAATGTCTTGATGTAGAGTTGATGTTGTGTCAATGTCTTGATGTAGAGTTGATGTTGTGTCAATGTCTTGATGTAGAGTTGATGTTGTGTCAATGTCTTGATGTAGAGTTGATGTTGTGTCAATGTCTTGATGTAGAGTTGATGTTGTGTCAATGTCTTGATGTAGAGTTGATGTTGTGTCAATGTCTTGATGTAGAGTTGATGTTGTGTCAATGTCTTGATGTAGAGTTGATGTTGTGTCAATGTCTTGATGTAGAGTTGATGTTGTGTCAATGTCTTGATGTAGAGTTGATGTTGTGTCAATGTCTTGATGTAGAGTTGATGTTGTGTCAATGTCTTGATGTAGAGTTGATGTTGTGTCAATGTCTTGATGTAGAGTTGATGTTGTGTCAATGTCTTGATGTAGAGTTGATGTTGTGTCAATGTCTTGATGTAGAGTTGATGTTGTGTCAATGTCTTGATGTAGAGTTGATGTTGTGTCAATGTCTTGATGTAGAGTTGATGTTGTGTCAATGTCTTGATGTAGAGTTGATGTTGTGTCAATGTCTTGATGTAGAGTTGATGTTGTGTCAATGTCTTGATGTAGAGTTGATGTTGTGTCAATGTCTTGATGTAGAGTTGATGTTGTGTCAATGTCTTGATGTAGAGTTGATGTTGTGTCAATGTCTTGATGTAGAGTTGATGTTGTGTCAATGTCTTGATGTAGAGTTGATGTTGTGTCAATGTCTTGATGTAGAGTTGATGTTGTGTCAATGTCTTGATGTAGAGTTGATGTTGTGTCAATGTCTTGATGTAGAGTTGATGTTGTGTCAATGTCTTGATGTAGAGTTGATGTTGTGTCAATGTCTTGATGTAGAGTTGATGTTGTGTCAATGTCTTGATGTAGAGTTGATGTTGTGTCAATGTCTTGATGTAGAGTTGATGTTGTGTCAATGTCTTGATGTAGAGTTGATGTTGTGTCAATGTCTTGATGTAGAGTTGATGTTGTGTTGTGTCTCAGTGTTGATGTAAAGTGTTAAGGATGTACAAATGGTTTAATTAGTTTATATTAGTTCTACTCTTTAACTGCATCATCTTCGTTTTGTAATATAAACTATATCTTCACAATATATCGTGTTTTAAACTGCTATATGTAACCCACTTCATATCTAAAATGTAATGTGTTATATAGACTGCTATACGCCTCTTTAGTCCAGTCAGTATTGAAATGATTTTATATAAATTGTTACCAGGGGGAGCCGGTCGGCCGAGCGGACAGCACGCTGGACTTGTGATCCTGTGATCCTGGGTTCGATCCCAGGCGCCGGCGAGAAACAATGGGCAGAGTTTCTTTCACCCTACGCCCCTGTTACCTAGCAGTAAAATAGGTACCTGGGGTGTTAGTCAGCTGTCACGGGCTGCTTCCTGGGGGTGGAGGCCTGGTCGAGGACCGGGCCGCGGGGACACTAAAAAGCCCCGAAATCATCTCAAGATAACCTGAAGATAACCAATTAAGTTTCTGATGCTGATATTGAAAATGTTGACATGCAATGTTGGTATTGTGACCCCTTATGTGATAAATGTTCTGTGTTTAGTATACAAATTTTCCCAAATATATATATCCTGTACTACCATTTATGAATGGTTTGATCAAATCCCCAAGGGCCGTGACGAGGATTCGAACCTACGTCCTAGATCATCCCAAACGCTGCATTAAACGACTGAGCTACGACATGGTCAAAAGAGTTGAAACCAGAAGTGTGTAATGAATGGTTTGGTTGGTAGTGGTTGATGTAACCGGTAGTTATAGTACAGTGAGATGATATAATTTACAATCTTAGTGGTTGCGGTGACAAATGTTATACTGGCTTTGGACTTTGGATAGTAATAGTGGTTGTAGCGAAGGTGGTAACTGTTGTAGTGGTGACTTACCTGGGCTGGTTGTGTTAGTTGTGTTCCCAGCTGCACCTGTGTAAATGAAAATGTCAATTATGTGCATTATCGCGTGTTATCACGTCTGTGAAAAAAAACAGGACATGTTATATTTATTTGTAATCTTCCTGTGGGAATTAATTGTAGTATGGTAGTAGAGGAGCTGAGTGTAACTACCAGAGAGCAATTATAGTGACAATTACCCCTGCTAGTTAACATCATTAACATAACTAGTTATATTAATATAACAACTAGTTATATTTCCACAGGTTCCACAGGTTCCACAGGTTCTTTTGAGTATAAGTCTTGGGGGCTTGTGGTACATATGGTTGGTAGAAGTATTAGTGGTTGATATGCCTTTAATTGGTAGTAATTGCGGTTGATATGAGTGACAGTGCTAGTAATAGTTGTTAATGTGGTAGTGGCACTATATCTAGTTGACTGGTTGTGGGAGTAAGTGTAGTTGATGTCACAGTTAATCTGGTTGATGCCTCTAGCAGTAGTAACAGTAACGGTTGCTGTGACTGGCAGCGTAAAGAATTGTGGTTAATGTAACTGGCAGTGGTAGTAAGACTGGTTGATGTGACTGGTAGTGGTGGTAGTAAAGGTTTATGACAATCTTGGTAGAGATAATAAATGTGATATTGGCTATAGATTTGGCTTTCATCAGTAATAGTGGCTGCAGTGATTGTGGTTGTAACATAGATGGTAACTGTTGTAGTTGTGACTTACCTGGGCTGGTTGTGTTCCCAGCTGCACCTGTGTAAATGAAACTGTCAATTATGTCTAATCACGTGGTTTTCAAGGCCAAAATTATTCACGGAATTCTGACAATTGACAAATCACGTTGTATAATGTTGGTTAAGATATAAATGTATAATGTTGGTTAAGATATAAATGTATAATGTATAATGTTGGTTAAGATAAAATTGGCAGAATGACAGGTGCTGAGGATAGTGGTTCCTTTGACCTTAGTGTTGTGGTTGTGAATGGTGGTTGGTTTAAGAAAGGTTGTTAGTAGCAATGGTAGCGATAAACGTGCTTGTGGTTGTAGAGAAGCAGGACTTGACTGGTTGTGACAATTGTGGTGACATATGTAACTGTGTACATATGTACATATGTGACATATGTACTGGCATGAATGGTGGTTCTTGTGAGGGCAAGTCTTGGTGCTGGTTGTAAATATGGTTGTCAGTGGTAGTGATGGTAGATTTGACAACAGTTGATGTGACTGGTGGTGGTGGTAAGACTGGTTGATGTGACTGGTGGTGGTAAGACTGGTTGATGTGACTGATAGTGGTGGTAAGACTGGTTGATGTGACTGGTGGTGGTGGTAAGACTGGTTGATGTGACTGATAGTGGTGGTAAGACTGGTTGATGTGACTGGTGGTGGTGGTAAGACTGGTTGATGTGACTGGTGGTGGTGGTAAGACTGGTTGATGTGACTGGTGGTGGTGGTAAGACTGGTTGATGTGACTGGTGGTGGTGGTAAGACTGGTTGATGTGACTGGTGGTGGTGGTAAGACTGGTTGATGTGACTGGTGGTGGTAGTAAGACTGGTTGATGTGACTGGTGGTGGTGGTAAGACTGGTTGATGTGACTGGTGGTGGTGGTAAGACTGGTTGATGTGACTGGCGGTGGTGGTAAGACTGGTTGATGTGACTGGTGGTGGTGGGAAGACTGGTTGATGTGACTGGCAGTGGTGGTAAGACTGGTTGATGTGACTGGCAGTGGTGGTAAGACTGGTTGATGTGACTGGCGGTGGTGGTAAGACTGGTTGATGTGACTGGTGGTGGTGGGAAGACTGGTTGATGTGACTGATAGTGGTAGAACAAGCTATTGGCAATTGGCTGTAGAAGTGACTCTCACCAGCAACAGTCATAGTGGTTGCAGTGATTGTGGTTGTAGCGTAGATGGTAACTGTTGTAGTGGTGACTTACCTGGGCTGGTTGTGTTAGTTGTGTTCCCAGCTGCACCTGTGTAAATGAAAATGTCAATAATGTGGATTATCAGCAGACTTCTAGATGTTACTACTGCTCGGCTTAGACTCGGTTACAAGTATCTCTTGGAACTCTCATTATCTGCTGATGTAGACCTGACCAAATGTAAACTGTGTCAACAAAATTATTCGCACACCCTCCGTCACTATGTGATGGTGTGCGAAAAGATACGTGAATTTAGAGACAATTCTATAACCAATGTTCCAGCGATGTGTCAATATTTCATTCAAAATGATCTGCTACCAGAAATCTTAGCCAAATATCCCCAGTTTGCTAACTGTAGGTAGTAACTAAGTGACTGTAACCTATCCACCGCTGCCCACTGGATGGGGGGCGGTGTGCAGGACAAATATATCAATTGTGACACTAGCTCTCCACATATGTCAGTTGCTTACTTTAGAACCTGTACTTGTGGTCGATCTCGAACCCATTGTTGATGTGACGACTTATATTGAATTTTGTAACTCATCAAGATTGTAACTTGCTTAGCTAAATGAATTGTGGGGTTCAGTCCCTGAGCCCATTATGTGCCTCTGTAACCCTTTCCACTACCGCCCACAAGATGGGTATGGGGTGCATAATAAATGAACTAAACTAAAAACTATCTTGAGGTTTTCTTGAGATGATTTCGGGGCTTTAGTGTCCCCGCGGCCCGGTCCTCGACCAGGCCTCCACCCCCAGGAAGCAGCCCGTGACAGCTGACTAACACCCAGGTACCTATTTTACTGCTAGGTAACAGGGGCATAGGGTGAAAGAAACTCTGCCCATTGTTTCTCGCCGGCGCCTGGTATCGAACCCAGGACCACAGGATCACAAGTCCAGCGTGCTGTCCGCTCGGCCGACCCGCTCCCTATCACGTATTTTAGGCTTATATCAAGGTCCCTCTAAGGTCAAACTACTGACCCTTCCTCAGGAGGCAACCCACACAATAGTCTCCTAATTACAAAGTACCTATTTAATGCCAGATGAACAGATGCATTAGGTGAAAGCAAACGTGCCCAACTATGTCTGTCCTGCCCGAGAATCGAACCCGGGATCCCCAGTTGAGGGTCATGAACAAAGCCAACTGCGTTACCAGATAGTTAGTCCCTGAGAACAATAGTTCGTTCACGTTAGTTTTTTCATAAAAGTTTGTGAATGGCAGCGTTAGTAGATAAACACACTAGTAGTAGTAGTAGTAGTAGTAGTAGTAGTAGTAGTAGTAGTAGTGGTAGTGGTAGTAGTAGTAGTAGTAGTAGTAGTAGTAGTAGTGGTAGTAGTAGTGGTAGTAGTAGTAGTAGTGGTAGTAGTAGTAGTAGTAGTGGTGGTAGTAGTAGTAGTAGTAGTAGTAGTAGTAGTAGTAGTAGTAGTAGTAGTAGTAGTAGTAGTGGTAGTAGTAGCAGTAGTAGTAGTAGTAGTAGTAGTAGTAGTAGTGGTAGTAGTAGTAGTAGTAGTAGTAGTAGTAGTAGTAGTAGTAGTAGTAGTAGTAGTAGTAGTAGTAGTAGTAGTAGTAGTGGTAGTAGTGAGACTGGGCGTGAGTGACAATTGTGGTGACATTTGCTAGTAGTAATGGTGGTTATGGTGGTTCTTTGCCATTGAAAAAAGTCCCAAAATCTTGGTGCTGGTGGTCAATATGTTTGGCGATAGTTGTAGTGGTTGGTGTAGCTGGCAATGGTGGTAGTAGTGGTGATTGATGTGGCTTGCAATGGTGGTAGCTGCGGGTGATGTGGCCACTGGAGGAGTTAGCGATTGTTGTGACTGGCAGTGGTAGTAGTAGCAGTGGTTAATGTGACTTCCAGTTAAATAATTAGCAATTGTTGTGACTGGTAGTGGTAGTAAGACTGGTTGATGTGACTGGTAGTGGTAGGAGGAGCTGTTAATATGCTTAACAATCGTGGTGGTGGTGGTAAATGTGATATTGACTGTAAATTTGCCTCTCATCAGTAATAGTGGTTGCAGTGATTGTGGTTGTAGCATAGATGGTAATTGTTGTAGTGGTGACTTACCTGGGCTAGTTGTGTTCCCAGCTGCACCTGTGTAAATGAAAATGTTAATAATGTTAATTTTCACGTGTTTACGAAGCTAAAACCAGTCACGGAAACGTGGGTAAGTTAAATATATGAGCAGATTGTCAGGTGTTGAGCAGATTGTCAGGTGTTGAGCAGATTGTCAGGTGTTGAGCAGATTGTCAGGTGTTGAGCAGATTGTCAGGTGTTGAGCAGATTGTCAGGTGTTGAGCAGATTGTCAGGTGTTGAGCAGATTGTCAGGTGTTGAGCAGATTGTCAGGTGTTGAGCAGATTGTCAGGTGTTGAGCAGATTGTCAGGTGTTGAGGCTAGTGATTGTGCTGAATGGTAGTTTTAATTGATTGATAGACTTTAGTTTTAATTGATTAATGGTTTGTGAATGGCAGAGTAGTAAATAAACACATTAGCTGTAGTAGTGTAGCTTTGTTGTGAATGGTGGTTGCAATAGTGGTTATATATACAACTAGCAGTCATATTAATGGTGACTCCCATTATTGCATGACTTGGTTGTTCGTTGTCAGTATAGTTAGTAGTATATTAATGGTAGATTTATACCAGTTGATGTGACTGACAGTGGAAGTAATAGTTATTGATGTTGCTCTGGTAATGGTGGTAATAGTGGTTGCAGTGATTGTGGTTGTAGCGTAAATGGTAACTGTTGTAGTGGTGACTTACCTGGGCTGGTTGTGTTAGTGGTGTTCGCAGCTGCACCTGTGTAAATGAAAATGTCAATAATGTCGATTTTCACTTGTTTTCAAGGTTAAAATGTGTAAATGAAATGTAAACATTAATATTTTCAGCTGTTTCCGAGACCATATCGAGTCAGGGAATTTTTTTTACAATTGAAAATCACATTGCATTATGTTGATCAAAGTATATATGTAGGCAGATCGTCAGCTGATTGGGCAGTGGTTCTGCTGACTTTAATTTTAGTTGTGTCATTAAAGGTCGTGAGTGGCAGAGTAGTAGATAAGCACACTAGTGGTAGTAGTGGTAGTGACTGGTAATTGTGGTGACGTGGACTAGTTGTAATATTTATGGTGATTCTTGTGATTGTAAATCACAAAATCTTGGTGCTTGTGGTAAATGTGGTTGGCAGTAATATTTGTGGTTGTTGTGGCTGATGGTGGTTGATGTGACTGGCAGTGGTAGTAATAGTGGTTGTTGTGGCTGATGGAGGTTGTAATGGTGGTTGATGTGACTGGCAGTGGTAGTAATAGTGGTTGAAATGACTAGGGGCTGGTAGTAATTGCGGTTGATACGACTGGCAGTGATAGAATTAGTGGTTGATGTAAATGACAGTGATGGTAGTAGTTATGTGCTGGTTGTGGTTGTGGTAGATGTGACTGGTTGCTGGAGTAACAGTGGTTGATGTGATCAACATTGGCAGTATAAGCGGTTGATATGACTGACAATCTTGGTGGTTGTAGTGGAGACATTGGTAACAGTAATAGTGGTTGCAGTGATTGTGGTTGTAGCGTAGATGGTAACTGTTGTAGTGGTGACTTACCTGGGCTGGTTGTGTTAGTTGTGTTCCCAGCTGCACCTGTGTAAATGAAAATGTAAATAATGTGGATTATCACGTGTTTACACGTCCGTGAAAAAAAGGACATGTTATATTTATTTGTAATTTTCCTGTGAGAATTAATTGCTGGATAGTATGGGCAGTTTTTGTGGTACCTTTGGAAAGCTTTGGGTTTATTGAAAGTAGTCCAAACAGCGCTTGTAGTTTCATTGTGTAAAATCGACATTAGGGGATTCACGAAGCAGTTACGCAAGCACTTACGAACGTGTACATCTTTCCTCAATCTTTGACGGCTTTGGTTACATTTATTAAACAGTTTACAAGCATGAAAACTTGCCAATCAACTGTTGTTATTGTTATAAACAGCCTCCTCGTGCTTCGGAGCTCATTAACTGTTTGATAATTGTAAACAAAGCCGCCAAAGATTGAGAAAAGATGGACAGGCTTGGTAAGTGCTTGCGTAACTGCTTCGTGAATCCGGGTCCTGGTTGTTTAATGACGAGAAGAAGACTTGTACTAACAGAAAACGGGATATGTTGAGAGTAAAACATTGTCTTATAAAGGAGGAACTGTCTTAATGTTTCTAGATAGCAGACTACCGATTGTAGTCTTCTGATTGTAGCCTAATGTTCCATCTCAGTTCTTGGAAATGTTCCGCAATGATTCTTCGACGCTCCGTATCTCTTATCACTCGCGTGTTTACCTGTAAGGGAGGACTATAGGTCTTCCTTCCGCCTTAGTCCCTACGATGAAGGTCTGGAATATCCATTCTCTGAACCTGGAAGAAAGTAACATTATCTATCTCACCTGCGGTTCCATTTGTGGACGTTGCATTGGTTCCAGTGGTTCCATTGGTCGAACCCGCAGTTGCATTTCCAGAAGTGGTACTATTAGCCGTTCCAGATGTGGTTCCATTGGTTGCTGTTGTGTTTCCAGAGGTGCTGTTGGTTGCTGTTGTGTTTCCAGAGGTGCTGTTGGTTGCTGTTGTGTTTCCAGAGGTGCTGTTGGCTGCTGTTGTGTTTCCAGAGGTGCTGTTGGCTGCTGTTGTGTTTCCAGAGGTGCTGTTGGCTGCTGTTGTGTTTCCAGAGGTGCTGTTGGTTGCTGTTGTGTTTCCAGAGGTGCTATTTGTTGTTGAGTTTCCAGTGGCTCTATTGGGTGCTGCTGTTGTGGTTCCAGAGGTGCTATTGGATGCTGTTGTTGTGGTTCCAGAGGTGCTATTGGATGCTGTTGTTGTGGTTCCAGAGGTGCTATTGGATGCTGTTGTTGTGGTTCCAGAGGTGCTATTGGATGCTGTTGTTGTGGTTCCAGAGGTGCTATTCGATGCTGTTGTGGTTCCAGAGGTGCTATTCGATGCTGTTGTGGTTCCAGTGGTGCTATTGGATGCTGTTGTGGTTCCAGTGGTGCTATTGGATGCTGTTGTGGTTCCAGTGGTGCTATTGGATGCTGTTGTGGTTCCAGTGGTGCTGTTGGATGCTGTTGTGGTTCCAGTGGTGCTGTTCGATGCTGTTGTGGTTCCAGAGGTGCTGTTGGATGTGGTATCTAGAGGAGAAGATAATTAAAATTTAAATAAAAGCAGATTTTTGTCATCTTTGCACACACACACACACACACACACACACACACACACACACACACACACACACACACACACACACACACACACACACACGTGTACCTCAATAACACATGTATCTCAATAACACATACATATCTCCAAATAACAAATTTATATCACAATAACCCCATGTAACTCTTTCAATAACACCTGTAAATCTCCCAATTAACACCTGTCTCCCCCCTTCCCCACCTGCAGAACCTGTGGAACTTTCTGCTACATACTTACTTGAGCTGGTGGTGGTGGCAGCTGTAAAATTAAAAGAAATATTAATGTATGAAAATGCACAATCAGGATATAATACAATCGATATATATTAATGTATGAAAATGCACAATCAGGATATAATACAATCGATATATATTAATGTATGAAAATGCACAATCAGGATATAATACAATCGATATATATTAATGTATGAAAATGCACAATCAGGATATAATACAATCGATATATATTAATGTATGAAAATGCACAATCAGGATATAATACAATCGATATATATTAATGTATGAAAATGCACAATCAGGATATAATACAATCGATATATAACCAAGAACAAGGCCATTCAACGTCAAATTTGACGTCAAAAAACGCCACACGGATATTGTATCCTACTGGGAACAATGGTTAATACTGTACCCACTGGATAATACGACCATTAATACGACTCAGTTCACCCCCATCTTCGTAATTATTTTTGTATTTGTGAAAGAATTACACTTTGAATTACACCTACGCAGAGGTTTAATAGTGTTTAAAGAAACATTAAAAGACGTTGGAACAAAAAGTTCCAAGTAGCACGGGCTATGGTGAGCCCGAGGCTGTTTCCCGGTTATCATATATGTAGTTAGGCTATTAGAGTGTATAGGTATAAGATATAAGTATATATAAGTATAGTATAAGAGTATAGTATATAAGAGTAGGTTAGGGTAAGAATAGATTAGGCTAAGAATAGGTTAGGCTAAGAATAGGTTAGGCTAAGAGTAGGTTAGGCTAAGAATAGGTTAGGCTAAGAATAGGTTAGGCTAAGAATAGGTTAGGCTAAGAATAGGTTAAGCTAAGAATAGGTTAGGCTAAGAATAGGTTAGGCTAAGAATAGGTTAGGCTAAGAATAGGTTAGGTTAAGAATAGGTTAGGCTAAGAATAGGTTAGGCTAAGAATAAGTTAGGCTTAAGAATAGGTTAGGGTAAGAATAGGTTAGGCTAAGAATAAGTTAGGCTTTAGAATAGGTTAGGCTAAGAATAGGTTAGGCTAAGAATAGGTTAGGCTTAAGAATAGGTTAGGCTAAGAATAGGTTAGGCTAAGAATAGGTTAGGCTAAGAATAGGTTAGGCTAAGAATAGGTTAGGCTTAAGAATAGGTTAGGCTAAGAATAGGTTAGGCTAAGAATAAGTTAGGCTAAGAATAGGTTAGGCTAAGAATAGGTTAGGCTAAGAATAGGTTAGGCTAAGAATAGGTTAGGCTAAGAATAGGTTAGGCTTAAGAATAGGTTAGGCTTAAGAATAGGTTAGGCTAAGAATAGGTTAGGCTAAGAATAGGTTAGGCTAAGAATAGGTTAGGCTAAGAATAGGTTAGGCTAAGAATAGGTTAGGCTTAAGAATAGGTTAGGCTAAGAATACGTTAGGCTTAAGAATAGGTTAGGCTAAGAATAGGTTAGGCTAAGAATAGGTTAGGCTTAAGAATAGGTTAGGCTTAAGAATAGGTTAGGCTAAGAATAGGTTAGGCTAAGAATAAGTTAGGCTAAGAATAGGTTAGGCTAAGAATAAGTTAGGCTAAGAATAGGTTAGGCTAAGAATAGGTTAGGCTAAGAATAGGTTAGGCTTAAGAATAGGTTAGGCTAAGAATAGGTTAGGCTAAGAATAGGTTAGGCTAAGAATAGGTTAGGCTTAAGAATAGGTTAGGCTTAAGAATAGGTTAGGCTAAGAATAGGTTAGGCTTAAGAATAGGTTAGGCTAAGAATAGGTTAGGCTAAGAATAGGTTAGGCTAAGAATAGGTTAGGCTAAGAATAGGTTAGGCTTAAGAATAGGTTAGGCTTAAGAATAGGTTAGGCTAAGAATAGGTTAGGCTTAGAATAGGTTATAAATTCGTTGGCTATAAATAGGAGCTGCCTCGTATGTGCCAATAGGCCACCTGCAATTAAATTATTGTTCTGATGGTACAATTAACGGTTGAAGTGGCCGGCAGGAAGAGTTATATGAAACTGCCACTTAACCAAAAAAGTACAAACCCAAGCAACCCATCTAACCTATCGAGTCCGATGCATAGAAAACGTAGACACGCGAGACATTACTGGTAACACTGATTGCCATAACGTATAAAATGTGACCTATTAGTTGAGAGAAAACGGGTTGTAGGTGATAGGAGAAGCAGTTGCTATAATTGGCAATCAGGCGAGGACAGGTATACAGAGAATGACAAAGAGGTGTGTGAAGAACTCAACAAGAATTTCCAGGTCTTCACAATAGAACAAGAGTTCCAGGAGGTCTTCACAATAGAACAAGGTGAGGTCACTGCGCTAGGAGAGGGGATGTGATAAATGTGATTTTGGCTTCCATCAGCAGTAATAACGCTGGGTCCAGTGGACTTGTTATTTGTTGTAGTTGTTACTTACGTGGGCTGGTTGTAGTTGAGTTATCAGCACCTGTGTAAATGAAAAAGTAACAGCTGTTGATTATCAAGCGTTTACAAGGATAAAATGAATCACATATTTCTTACAATTGAAAAAAATCACTTTGTATCATGTTGGATAAGTTATATATAGAGTTTGTCAGTGCTATCTTGAGGTTATCTTGAGATGATTTCGGGGCTTTAGTGTCCCCGCGGCCCGGTCCTCGACCAGGCCTCCACCCCCAGGAAGCAGCCCGTGACAGCTGACTAACACCCAGGTACCTATTTTACTGCTAGGTAACAGGGGCATAGGGTGAAAGAAACTCTGCCCATTGTTTCTCTCCGGCGCCCGGGATCGAACCCGGGATCACAAGTCCAGCGTGCTGTCCGCTCGGCCGACCGGCTCCCCCAGTGCTGTGCTGATCACAGTGGTTCCGCTGTTACGTTGTTGTTAATGGTGTTGTGATGTAACTGGCAGTTGTAGATGTGGCTAATGGTGGTTATTGTGGTCACAAGACTTGTAGCTGGTAGTAAATGAGGCAGTTTACCTTTACTACTTTACTAAATGAGGCAGTTTACCTTTACTACTTTACTAAATGAGGCAGTTTACCTTTACTACTTTACTAAATGAGGCAGTTTACCTTTACTACTTTACTAAATGAGGCAGTTTACCTTTACTACTTTACTAAATGAGGCAGTTTTACTTTACTAAATGAGGCAGTTTACCTTTACTACTTTACTAAATGGGGCAGTTTACCTTTACTACTTTACTAAATGGGGCAGTTTACCTTTACTACTTTACTAAATGAGGCAGTTTACCTTTACTACTTTACTAAATGAGGCAGTTTACTCAAATGCTTCAGTGATCAGTGTATATGCACTGAGATGTGTACTCCACTCATCACTGTAAGTACACTGTCATACGACCATTAATCATGTATGACCTACCAACACATACAACCATTCAACACGTTCAACCAACTACGGGCTCACCATAGCCTGTGCTACTTGGAACTTTGTTCCAAGTAGCGAATTTTTAACAACAACAACAACGTTCAACCAGCCAACACATACGAGCAGTCAACACGTGCGACCAGCTAACACGTGCGACCGTTCAACACGTGCGACCAGCTAACACGTGCGACCAGCTAACACGTGCGACCAGCTAACATGTGCGACCAGCCAACACGTGCGACCAGCCAACATTTACGAACAAGCTACGAGGGCATATGTTTTGACAACGAGGTGTCGTGGTTGTCCTGGCCACACTGTTTTTATCTTCTATATATATATATATATATATATATATATATATATATATATATATATATATATATATATATATATATATATATATATAGGTTAAGTATTAATTGTAATTACGAAGCAATAAGATGCTTATTTTAACGTTTTAACGTATTAAGAAGGTTAGGTGAGGTCGGTGTTTTCTATGAAGCTTTTCAAGGTAAACTAGTATGTTTAGTATGTCACATATGCACGTATTTAATAACTCAATATTGACTATACGAAAGTGTGAGAACGGGTTGCGTTATTGACGGGGGTGGCATAGCTGCCCGTCTCTTGATGTTCATATTGGTCTTACCAATGTATACAAACGCCTCAAGGTCGTTGTCGAGGTTCCACAGGTCGATATCAAGGGCCTTGCATACTCCGCTGACCTAGTTTAGTCTAAGTGTGTAGATACTGTGTAGTATTTACCCCAAGGATCTTTGTCAACTTGAGTCCGTAGAATATCTATCCCAAGGTGCTTGTAAACTAGGTCTAATATCCACTTACAGGTCTTTGTAAACTTTGTTCAATACTAACCCCAAGGCCCTGTTACTAATTGGCCTGTGTAATTACTTAAGTGTTGTTAAAGGATGAGAGCTATGCTCGTGGTGTCCCGTCTTCCCAGTACTCTTTGTCATATAACGCTTTGAAACTACTGTGTGTGTGTGTGTGTGTGTGTGTGAGTACTCACCTAGTTGTGTTTGCGGGGGTTGAGCTCTGGCTCTTTGGTCCCGCCTCTCAACTGTCAATCAACAGGTGTACAGATTCCTGAGCCTATCGGGCTCTATCATATCTACACTTGAAACTGTGTATGGAGTCAGCCTCCACCACATCACTTCCTAATACATTCCATTTGTCAACCACTCTGACACTAAAAAAGTTCTTTCTAACATCTCTGTGGCTCATTTGGGCACTCAGTTTCCACCTGTGTCCCCTAGTACGTGTGCCCCTTGTGTTAAATAGACTGTCTTTATCTACCCTATCAATTCCCTTCAGAATCTTGAATGTGGTGATCATGTCCCCCCTAACTCTTCTGTCTTCCAGCGAAGTGAGGTTTAATTCCCGTAGTCTCTCCTCGTAGCTCATACCTCTCAGCTCGGGTACTAGTCTGGTGGCAAACCTTTGAACCTTTTCCAGTTTAGTCTTGTCCTTGACTAGATTTGGACTCCATGCTGGGGCTGCATACTCCAGGATTGGCCTGACATATGTGGTATACAAAGTTCTGAATGATTCTTTACACAAGTTTCTGAATGCCGTTCGTATGTTGGCCAGCCTGGCATATGCCGCTGATGTTATCCGCTTGATATGTGCTGCAGGAGACAGGTCTGGCGTGATATCAACCCCCAAGTCTTTTTCCTTCTCTGACTCCTGAAGAATTTCCTCTCCCAGATGATACCTTGTATCTGGCCTCCTGCTCCCTACACCTATCTTCATTACATTACATTTGGTGTGTGTGTGTGTGTATGTGTGTGTGTGTATGTGTGTGTGTGTGTGTGTGTGTGTGTGTGTGTGTACTAACCTATCTGTGCCTGCAGGCTCTAGCTCCTGGACCTTAACAAGTGTAGATGTATATATGTGTGTGTATTTAGTATTTTACTATTTTTGTTTGCAGGAACGAGCTAATAGCTCTTGGACCCCGCCTTTTTAACCAATCTATTTTTCCTCTATTATATCTACTACATATATTTCTCTCTAACGCATGCACACACACACACACACACACACACACATCCCCAGGAAGCAGCCCGTAGCAGGTGAACAGGTGAGCACCAGGGTGAAAGAAACTCTGCCCATTTGTTTCCGCCTCGGTCGGGAATCGAACCCGAAGGACTACGACCCTTCGAGCGCTGTCCACTCAACCACGAGGTCCCCTGTGTGTGTAGGCCTGGCTAAGGGGATCCCGCATGAATCAATACAATCACCATGACTCTGTTTATCAGGCTCCACACCAACCCTCCTCCCTCCCCCCCCCCTCCTATCCATCCCCCTCCCTCCCCTCCTATCCATCCCCCCCCCTCCCCTCCTATCCATCCCCCATCCACCACAATCCTCCATCTACGCCAATTCCTCTCCCTTTTCACATCACCAATGAGTACCACCAATGAGGGAGCCGGTCGGCCGAGCGGACAGCACGCTGGACTTGTGATCGTGTGGTCCTGGGTTCGATCCCAGGCGCCGGCGAGAAACAATGGGCAGAGTTTCTTTCACCCTATGCCCCTGTTACCTAGCAGTAAAATAGGTACCTGGGTGTTAGTCAGCTGTCACGGGCTGCTTCCTGGGGGTGGAGGCCTGGTCGAGGACCGGGCCGCGGGGACACTAAAAAGCCCCGAAATCATCTCAAGATAACCTCAAGATAACCTCTCAACACGTTTTCTAACATGACGAATACACTTTAAAAAAAAGCTATATTATACTTATATAATATAGTATAATATACTATATTATACTTATAACAACTTCTAACAGCGCAGTGGTCTTCGTCGTCGGCTCACAACCCGGGTACCCAAGTTCAATCCCGCGGTTGGGAAGAGACGATGGACCAGCTTCTCGTTTCACCTGGTTACCTGTGTAACCTGTTCACCCAGCAGTGAATAGGTACGCAGGGATTCAGGCAACTGTTGTGGGTGGCATCGTGAGGAGAGTCAGTAGTTGGTTTACACGGGAAGGAGCGGGGGGGGGGGACTACTGTGGACCAGTATTCCACAGTAAACTGATATAAACCTAGCCTTCCAGTAGTGCACAGTAAACTGATGTAAACCTAGCCTTCCAGTAGTGCACAGTAAACTGATGTTAAAGAAGTTTTCTAATATGCCGCAGAAATCATATGTAAACCAAGTCTTCCAGTACACCCATAAACTGATATAAACCTTAGAGTAAACCACAGTAAACTAACATAAACGAAATGACATAAACCTGAAGCAAACCAAGTCTTACAGACAGCCTCAGTCAGCTAATGTAAACCAAGCCTTCCAATTAGAATAAAAATTTAGTAAACAGCCTTCTAGTAGGCCACAGTAAACTGATGTAAATCGAACCTTGCAGTAGACTGGGAGTGGTATACTATCAAGGTTGGGGAGTAGTGTCGTTTCTCTCAAGTCGTTCCGTAAACTCCATTGCTAACTTTCACTTACTAAATTATATTACCTCACCTTTCACTCATATTCCTTTCGTCAGTGTCTCCCTTTACACACACACGTCACGTGATGGTAAGACGGAAGAGTGGTCAGAATCCTGTTTAATGGCATCTTTTCTTTTTTCATTCCCATGCAGGTACGGTCGCTGCATGGGCAACCCCTTGAGAGTACGAACCAGTGCAGACGCGGACCCAGGTAGGTACAGTCTCAGACAAAACAGGCTAACTATACAACCAGTCAAACAACCATATAAGCAGCCAACTATACAACCATGCGTAGAGCCAGCCATTTAGACCATCAGAGCCAAACTCACCTGCGGCTGCAACAAGCAAGGCGATCAAGACCCCGAGAGAGAGAAGCACATTCCTCCACTTATATCCCTCCATGGTGGACGACGGCCCTTCTGGCTGGCCCCGGCGGCGCTGTGGGGCTCTTCGCTTGTCTCGGGTCGTAAGTGACAGGCGAATATCGGGACGTTGTGGACACCGCAGTCTGGTCTATCAATCAGGGCTGACTTGAGCAGTAAGGGCTCAAGCAGCCTGTGTGGAGAGAGAGGCGGGGCCCAGGCTTAGGGCTGCCCGCTGTTAAGATTCGCAGCTTCACCTGAGGGGAGGACTTTGCTACGCGTCACCTGTGGGCTAACTGCTCAGAGTGAGGGGAATTTTGGGATGGTGAGGGGGGTAGAGGGAGGGAAGGGGGGAGAGGAGGAGGGGATAGACTTAGGGTTGGGGGGTTGACAGGGAGTTGACTTGTACTTGACCAAAACAATATATTCTTTTGAACGCTCTGATAGTCATTGTGGGTTTTACGATGTTTTTAATATGTGCTTTCTCGTAAGCTGGCCAGCGAGGCTCAGGTTATCCAGTGGGAGGGGTGGCAGTGTGTCAGAGTGGGTGGGTAGTGTGGAGGTTCCAGTGGGGGTGTTGGGGGGCTGGAGAAAGGGGGTGTTGGTGGCGACACGGTCGCTCGCCGTCTCTACCAACAATTGAGCAGCTACCAAGTAGCCAGGGATGGCCATGACAACCAACACTAAACTAAACATTCCACTTCGAACGCACCTACCTACACACACACATTCAATATACGCAAAAACACACCCTACACACTCACATACACGCACAAACACACCCTACACACTCACATACACGCACAAACACACCCTACACACTCACATACACGCACAAACACACCCTACACACTCACATATACGCAAAAACACACCCTACACACTCACATACACGCACAAACACACCCTACACACGCACATAAGCGCACAAATTACACGCATTAATACACTACATTTGCATCTCTAGGGAGCCGGTCGGCCGAGCGGACAGCACGCTGGACTTGTGATCCTGTGGTCCTGGGTTCGATCCCAGGCGCCGGCGAGAAACATTGGGCAGAGTTTCTTTCACCCTATGCCCCTGTTACCTAGCAGTAAAATAGGTACCTGGGTGTTAGTCAGCTGTCACGGGCTGCTTCCTGGGGGTGGAGGCCTGGTCGAGGACCGGGCCGCGGGGACACTAAAGCCCCGAAATCATCTCAAGATAACCTCAAGATAACTACACACATAAGCACGTACATATACTATAAACTCCACGTGGGACACATCTCTTCCCCACCTGGAGTCTAATTCACTTTTTCTCCACCCAACCACTTGGGCTGGACGGTAGAGTGACGGTCTCGCTTCATGCAGGTCGGCGTTCAATCCCCGACCGTCCAAGTGGTTGGACACTTATCACCCCCGTCCCTGTCCCATCCCAAACCCTTATCCTGACCGATTGATTGATGAAGATTAAGCCACCCAAAAGGTGGCACGGGCATGAATAGCCCGTAAGTGGTGGCCCTTTCGAGCCATTACCAGTATCAAAAGATGATACTGGAGATCTGTGGAGGCGCAACTGCACCCTGCGTGACGGGAGATGTCTCCCGGACCAAGTGGTGACCAAATGGTGTTATCCTGACCCCTTCCAAATGCTATATATAGTCTAAATGGCTTGACGCTTTCCCCTGAAAGTTCCCTTCTTTTCCAAACCTGTCGTCTAATTCATCTCTTCCACACCTGGAGTCTGTCCTGAGCCCTGCACTGCGCACCTCATTATTTTGGATTTATCTTGAGTATTCCAGCATTGTACATTATACAGTGCTTCCTAATACGTATTTTACATTTCCATATTGGTGTAAGATTATATGACTTAATGTAGAGACATATATTCACATATTTACTCATTCATGATAACTCGTCAGAGATAAGCCACTTCCATGGTGTGGTCATTCATGTTATCACTCTCACACTGTTATATCCAGATATCACAAGACCTTTCTTTAACTCTGGGGTTCAAGCATGTTTTCGTGGTAAGTTGAATTAGCTTGTTTGGATGGTAGTTAGGTTAAATGAGGTCATTATGTTGAGAAAATGTTAAGTTATTACGACTATATATCAAGGTATGATGCTCCGGTGGATAAGGGAGTACCTAGGCGGCAGGAAACAGCTACTAAGACAGTGTCTGTCTGTCTCTCTCTCGCATATACTTGGAATGTTGAAGTTCATTTCGACTGTGCCTCACCCAGTCAGATATACAAATGATAGTGTTATCTAGGGAATTAATAAATACAACCAGTTATTTAAATGCACCGTATATATTAATAAAATAATCATCTACATTTCAGAATATATATATATATATATATATATATATATATATATATATATATATATATATATATATATATATATATATATATATATATATATATATATATATAAGAATTAGTACATTTAATAAAATTCTTATGTAAAAATAAGAATTTTTATCTACATTAACTTAAATACAATTTCATTATAAAAGTCATAAAAACCACGAAGGACAAAAATATATATAATAGCTCTCTCAAGGATTAGCCTTACAAAAATCAGCAGCGTACAGAAATTGAATTGTCGTAGAAGCAATTGCACTAGGCTATCTTACACATATTAATTACACAAACATCACATTGTCATGGGATAATACTTGTTGGTGGCCCTTAACTACAGCTCCTTTAGACCCGAGTAGCATGCAGACCATAGATGCGAGAGGAAGTAAGGGTGAATAGTGTCTTATTAGGCTGGGGCTCCACGCTAGCTATATGTAAACAGAGAGAGAGCGGGAGGGGATTACTGGTTCCCTGCTAGTCAAGGAATGACTTTATATATCCTCGTCATATCTCCTATCAACCACAGCACCACGTCACAGTATTAGTGTACAGGAAATATCACATTTATCTTGTGTGTTTCAGGGGGGAGTAGGTATATATAGTGGGATTATATGGGGGGTATATATATGTATTGGTTTGATGGATCATATATATATATACCTGTGGCTTAGATTATATATACACCTGTTTATCCTGGTTTATGTAGACTTGGGTTCCGGCCCATGCACACATATACACCTGTGTTTTATGTTATAAACACATGTAAATTATGTACACACCTGATTTCTTAGCCATATACACATGCCTTGTTTTCTGGTCCATATATTCGTTTTCTGGTCAATGGATGCCAGTATTCTGAACCCATACACAGGCGGGACCTAAGAGCCGAAGCTCAACCCCCGCAGGTACAACTAGGTGAGTACTAGGTGAATATACACACACACACACACACACACACACACACACACACACACACACACACACACACACACACACACACACACACACACACACACACACACTCCACCACCCCATTCACGTGATCCCTAACTACACATACACAACTACAAACACTCATCTCATCCCAACTACTACAACCACTACAATAGCGTGCTTTGCTAACAATAAAAACATCATATTTTATCCCCTACAACAGTTTTGGGACTGATTTTTTTTCTTTTTTTTTAATATCAAAGCATTTTAAAGTCTTTTTTTTTAATAGTTTCGTATCTTTTTAAATTGCTTCGTGGTGTGACACGAGTTAACTTGAAAACTTTGTGTTTAAATAGACAACATTTCGTAATGTCAGTACTAACAAATATGTAGATTACTATATACAATGTATGACAAGAAATGGCCACTAGAGCTCCTTGGGTTTAGAGCGACTGAAGAGACAGTAAGTCAATATTTTCCAACACTCTATGCTAACTCTATTTTCCAACACTCTATGCTAACTCTATTTTCCAACACTCTATGCTAACTCTTTTTATTTCATCAACGTAGACAATCCTTTATGGACAAAGGTGGTAACCTTTTCCTCGGTCGATATGCTGAGTACTGTCAATATTTTTTTTGAGTACAGTACTATCCGTAAATCTGTTTGGAATCATCATAGATTTCTTAGTTTTTTCACTTGGCTCCTCTGATTATATTTTCATGTCCTTGATATGCTTTGGGTGGGATATACTCAGCTCAAATATATACCTGGATATTATGCTTGTGGACCGCCATATGAGCATCGTCACTATATAACTCCAAGCAACATTTTCTCATCAATATCAGCATCACCATAACATCATTCTCAGCAGTCAGCATCAATCGGCAAGAGGGAAGGTCAGAACAGCATCAACAGCATCACATCGCCAAGAACTTGAGGCACAAGTATCGTTGCCTTGCATCTTGTGTGTGTGTGTTAGTGTGTTTCAAGTCCCAAAGCTTGTTCAAGACTGATGATTGACGAAGATTAAGCCACCCAAAAGGTGGCACGGACATGAATAGCCCGTAAGTGGAGGCCTTTCTGAGCCATTACCAGTATCAATAGATGATACTGGAGATCTGTGGAGGTGCGACTGCTCCCTGCGTGACGGGAGATGTCTCCCGTGAGCTCGTTCAAGCTTCCATTATGAGTGAATGAGTGATCCTTAAGCTCTGTGAAGGGCGATTATCAAACACATACAACACAACTGGTTTCTGTACTATTAAGTCCTCGTCTGGCTGTGTCTATAACATTAGTAGCTCTACTTGCCCCACGCTCTACAAGACTACAAAAGCAAACTGTGGGCACGTTAACTATGGCCAGCCGATGTCTTCCACCGTGTCGTAGCCCAACCGTCTTCCCTTCCAGCTGTAGGAGTGACACGGTCGATCTCACCCTAGAGGGCGTCAGCTCGTTCTTCTAGCGTCGAAATCGAGTCTATCACTTGATTATGACACGTGCTTGACAGATGCACGGCGTTGATTTCAATCTCTTTGTGGATGTGATGGCGTTAACAACAGTCTCTTCGTTGAAGCGATACCTGTCGACTCCAGTCTCGTCCTGGAAGCGATACCGTCGACTCCAGTCTCGTCCTGGAAGTGATACCGTCGACAACAATCTCGTCCTGGAAGCGATAGCGTCCTGGAAGCGATACCGTCGACTCCAGTCTCGTCCTGGAAGTGATACCGTCGACAACAATCTCGTCCTGGAAGCGATAGCGTCCTGGAAGCGATACCGTCGACTCCAATCTCGTCCTGGAAGCGATACCGTCGACTCCAGTCTCGTCCTGGAAGCGATAGCGTCGACAACAATCTCGTCCTGGAAGCGATACCGTCGACTCCCAGTCTCGTCCTGGAAGCGATACCGTCGAATCCCACTACACTTGCTCCTCCTCGAAATCGTCCTTGTATTCAGCACAATCCATGCACTTGACGAGGCCGGACTCGTCGCAGCTGGAGCACTTGAGGGCCACGAACTCGAGGGTGAAGTCGTTGCGATGGACGGACTTCTTGGACCCGTTGCAGACGGAGCAGGGCAGGAGTCTGAACCCCCCGCAAGTGTCGCAGGGCGTGCAGCTCGTCGCCCTCTGTGGGAGAGACAACACTACAGTTACTGGGACATGTTCTCATCATTTTTTATTTAAATTCTCTATGTATATTCGTGGGTGTGAATCCTGCACTCTCTGAGGTGTAAATAGTGTATTACACGCGGGTAACTAATGTATTATATGGGTGTAAAATATGGCATTCATCGAGGTGTAAATTACTACATTCCCCCCCGGGGTGTAAATAATGTATTACACAAGTGTAAATAATGTATTATAAGATGTAAATATTGCATTCTCTTGGAGTGAATACTGCATTCTTTGCGGTGTAACTTCTGCTTGCATCTGGGTGTAATTAATGCATGCTCCATGTGCAATAGCTGAAAATACTTGGTTTAAATAATGAATACTCTTAGTGTAAACAATGAATACTCTGGGAGTAAATAATTAATACTCTGGGTGTAAATAATGGAATTAATATTTTAAATCAAGTCTACGTTTCAAACCATCTTCTGTCATTCCAAATTTGGTCTTGATATTCCTCCAAACTTGGGTCAACATTCCTCTTAACTTGGACTGAATATTCATTCAAACTTGGTATCAATATTTATCCAACTTTGGGCTCACTATTCCTCCAAAACTTGGACTCAATATTCCTCCAAACTTGGACTCACTTTTCCTCGAAACTTGTTTTTTGGATTCAACCTATAAAACCTGGTCTCCTGGAATCAATATTGTTCTACCCTCTTCTTAGTCGTTATTCTAAGCCTAGTTTAGTGGCCTCAACATTCTATAAGCCTAGTCTCCTAGTCCTAACATTCTAAATATAGGTCTCGTTAATTTTTAGAAGCGACATTCAAAGCCTAGTCCCCTGCACTAAGCATTCCAAATTTGGTCTACTGGACTCAACTTTTCCATTCATGGCCTCAAGATCCCAACCATATCTACTTGAACTTTTCCCTACAGCGCCGGCCTCGCTTCTTGCATGCCTGCGATCAATCCCCTGTTTTCCAAGTAGTTGGGCACCATTCTTTCCCTCCGTCCACATATCCTAGATCCTTGTCCTCACACCCCCTTCCATGTGCTAATGTGATAATTATCAGCGCTTTCCCATGACAAATTTTCTTCTTTTCCTTCGGTAATTCAACCCTGGTTTAGTCAGAACAATTTCGATTTTCCCAGTAGTCACTGTTATTAAAAATGCACAGCTTATAATGTTTAATTAAACAACACATGTTCATATTAAATAGCAAATGTGAATATTAAGATACTATATGTTAAACTGTCTTACATAGAAGTTCCCGGACATTGTTTTTAAAATTTGGGATGTGATTTTTACGAAGTCTTAATTTCCCTTTTATTGTTTATATAATATAAAAGGTTTAGTTTAGTTCATTTATTATACATCCACTAGCCATCCTGTGCGCGAGGTGACGATGTACTAGGCTAGGTTGGGATGTGCCGGGCTGTGTAAGGATCTACCAGGCTAGATAACTATCCATCTACCAGGTTAGATAAGGATCTACTTGACCTCTTGACTGCCTCAGTACATAACATCATACCTATTGTAATTGTAATTGTATCCGCTATATTGCATTTAAAAATTATAACCAGAATGTCTGCACATTTAACAATAATAATCCTAATAAATCAATCATAAATTAAAATAGTTTAAAATCGAATATAATTGTAATTAACTATAGGAGTACAGATTAATTATAGTTAGTGTTTAACGTTATATAGAGGGGAGGGTTAAACCCAATTTCAGTATCTGTTTGGGGGTTCTATGGGGGTAGAAATAGCCTAAGCTACTCTATCCCTTTGAGATGTATTTTTTTCTTGTCTCTATAAACATACTTGAATTAGGCAAAACAATTGCATTTTTTACGGAATGGCAAATCGTGCGAACACTCTTTTGTTACACCCTGTATATCTTCGTGTAAATACGCGAACTTTTTGAGCAAGAATATAGTGACTCACCCTGTATGGTTGAAGGAGTCGCCGTAGTTCTCCGCATTCGTTCATCCTCTCGATCTGCTCGGCATCCTGAGGGGCGTAGATGACTTATTACTCACCTCATTCACCCAGTGATTCATCTAATTTACTCTCAATGGCTCGCCTCACACCCCTGCTCCGCGCCTCTCTTGTCTTATCGTTTGTGAATCTTTCTTACTAATCCTGGTTCATCTACTGATTCACCTTCTAAGTTACTGATTTGTCTATTAGATACTCTGATTCACCAACTGAATTGCCAGTTACGTGCTTCGCCTAAATGATTTGTCTCTCCTCACTGACTCATCAATTGACTCACCTGACTTATTCAATTGCCTACCTGACCATCTGATTCATCTACTGAACTCGTTTGGGACGTATACTGGCCCCTACCCGACTCATCTACTCACAAGTTAATTTATCTACTGGCCCACCTCATTCATCTACTGGTTCAACTCATCTTCTGGTCCATTGACTTATCTACTTGATAATTATCTACTTGATTATCCCCATTGACACAGTACAGAAGTACCTAGATTTATCTACTAGCATATATAATCTACTGGACACCCCTAAACTCATCTACTAGCAAACCTATGTTATTCTACCTCATTGATCTACTGAACTTGGTACTTACTCAATATTTATTAAGTACAATATATTATAAATTAGTTTTTATGAACTTGCAAAAAGTTATTTAAACGTAATGGTAAAAAATCAATTATCAATAGGTGGAAAGTATATGCTAATTATCATAAAAATTGTATGGTAGCAGTTAATAATCGTTAACTAGAAGGTAAATACTTAAAAGTTAAACGACAATCTTAGACTGTGTTGTTATACTGGTGCATCTACCATCGTCGCTAGTACCGTAACGTCTACCACCACTACATCTACCAGTCTACTCACGCCCAGGTATTGGCCCTCTATGAAGAGATGAGGCACGGTGACGCTGCCGACTCTGAGCCGGTCCAGGAGCTGGAGCTGCGTGTCGCGGGCCATGAACACGTCGCGTTCCTCGAACCGCACCAGTAGCGTCCAGAGGATCTTGCGCAGGCGCAGACACCGCTCGTACGTGTCACGGACGATGCCTAGCGTCGTCACGTACACCACCACCTTGCCTCGCTCGCGCTCCATAAAGTGCTGCAAATACGGACGATATGTTAGTGCTGCAATACGGACGATATATCTTAGAGCTACAACACGTACATGTATATTAGTGCTGCAATACGTACATATATATTAGTGCTGCAATACGTACATATAAGTTAGTGCTACAATACGGACGATATATCTTAGTGCTGCAACACGTACATATGTATTAGTGCTGCAATGCGTACATATATATTAGTGCTGCAACACGTACATATGTATTAGTGCTGCAATACGTACATATATATTAGTGATGCAACACGTACATATATTAGTGCTGCAACACGTACATATATATTAGTGCTGCAACACGTACATATAAGTTAGTGCTGCAATACGGACGATATATCTTAGAGCTGCAACACGTACATATATCTTAGAGCTGCAACACGTACATATATATTAGTGCTGCAATTTGTACACAAGTTAGTATTGACAAAAGAATCACTAATAATAGCGTTAACACTAAGCCACTTGACAAATAGTTGGAATAAACTAATACACAAAATCGCAAATCTAAAATTACAAGACACACAGCAAAATAAATCCCAGAAACTTGTAAACAAAATTAAAATTGTATAAAAACACAGAAAAATAATATATAAATCACTCATGAATAGTGTAACACAACAAATTTACAAATATTAGAATAATATTACATATAATAACACTACCATGATAAAAAGCTTTAGAAACACAGCAATACAAAAACGTGAGGTTTTAAGAAATCATATATAAGAAATACAACTTTTGCTAAACCACTAGATTATATCTGTAGGTGATCAAACTACGTATCTAATTGCAAAAAATTGATCTAAAAGTCTAACTGCCTAAATTCAGTCATCCGGCACCGTCACGAAACTAATCTATCCGTTGTTGTTGTTCCATAAAGTGTACCAGAGTTTGACCCCACTTGAGCACCTGCCTGTCAGAGAGCTGGGGAGAGTGTGTGTGTGTATTCACCTATTTATGCTTGCGGAGGTTGAGCTCTGGCTCTGTGGTCCCGCCTCTCAACCGTCAGTCAACTGGTGTACAGGTTCGTGAGCCTACTGGGCTCTATCATATCTACACTTGAAACTGTGTATGGAGTCAGCCTCCACCACATCACTACCACCACGTACACACTGTGTGTGTGTGTGTGAGTGTGTGTGTGTGTGTGTGTGTGTGTGTGTGTGTGTGTGTGTGTGTGTGTGTGTGTGTGTGTGTGTGTGTGTGTGTGTGTGCTCAATTCCCTCCCCAACCCGCATTTACCTAATGTGCTTGACAGGGTTAATGAATGAAGAGATAGAGACATACAGACGACACAGAGAGACAGACACAGTGAAGCACAATATATCTGACAACTTTCCGTCTCCGTGGAGCATTAAGCGCGAGATTTTTGCCAAGTTATAGCTGATATGATGAGTATTCCGTTTTTTGTTTAACCGTTGAGGTAAAACAGATGTTGGAGTGTTTTACCGTTACATTGTTCCTGTTACACCGTTGGTATGTGGCTTCCAGAGCAGGTAGCACTCGCTACACTACTCGCTCCTATCTCTTATCTCAGCAAAGTTCACCACTAATGTAAACTCAATGTGAATATGCACATATTACCGTTAAAATGTGTGTTGAAACATCATCTGGAATACGCTACCCAATTTTGGTCTGAATTTCAAATGAGTGAACAAGTAAGATCGTTCAGAACAAAAAATCTACCCTACGACGAGAGGTCTGAAGGTCTAAGTTACACTACAAGGAGCCTTAAAACCCATAAGACACTGAAGTTGTTCAAGAACCCGAAAGAACAATTTGAGTAACTATGACATCGTGGAAATATTTGGCAGGAATCTCGAAATAAATAAATTCATAACAAGCCTAATACACGAATTATGTTATCATGTACATTATATACTTTCATGATACACCCTTGTACTCCCATGTGCATCTATGTATTACCGTGTACACCTGTACACATCTGTGTGCAGGTGAGAGAGAGAGAGAGAGAGTGAGACAGAGAGAGAGTGAGTGAGACAGCGTGAGTGCGGGCAAGAAGGAAGTAAAGGACATCAATGACCCCGGAAATACACTAATGAACCGAGTGCTGCAAACAGACTGACAGACAAACAAACAGAGAGGCACGGAACCTGCCAAACAGTCAGACAGATCACCAGACACGGAGGCAGACAGGCAAACACACACACACACACAAAGACAATCTCAATATCTCTTGAAAATTGTAACAACACCTTTTTTTCCAGTTCCTGTCTAATTCTCCAGCGTTACGGCTGGGGTTACTTACGCACAGGCGAGGCGTAGGTGTGTGGGAGTAACTGTACAGATGTTTAAATTAAATTGTTTGGAAAAGGGTTGGTGGGGGTGGTTTTGGGGAGAGGGGGGAGGGAGGAGGGTGTTAGTGTACGTGACCCGCCGTGAGGGGCACTGACACACACACACACACACACACACACACACACACACACACACACACACACACACACACACACACACACACACACACACACACACACACACACACACACACACACACACTCACACACACACACATACACACACACACACTCAAGAGACCGGTGGCTGACTGGACAGCACGCTGGACGCGTAATCGTGTCATCCCGGGTTCGATTCCCGGCGCCGGCGAGAAACAATTTGCAGTTTCTTTCACCTAGATGCCCCTGTTACCTAGCAATAAATACGCACCTGGGAGTTAGAAAGCTGTTACGGAACCGCTTCATGGGTGTGTATGGAAAAAAAAGTTAGTAGTTAGTAACAGTTGATTAACAGTTGAGAGGCGGACCGAAAGAGCAGAGCTCAACCCCCGCAAGCACAACTAGGTGAACACAACTAGGTGAACACCCCCCCCCCCCACTCCTACCTACAATTCGTGACCTGCTTTCCTCAAAGCATTTCCACTTTAGTGAGTGTGGGCTCCCAGACCTGCATGTCTAAACTGCCATTATCTCTATGAGCTGAGCGCGTCGTGTCGCCGCCCTCACCTATAATCCCATTACCAAAGCGTGGCGGCGCACGCCATCCGCGCATGATGTGATCTGGATGATGATGGATGATCTGGATGATGTCACATCAATGGCTGCCTATTTCAGACATCGTGGGTACCACTTTGCGAGCTAGTAGATGCCTATTTGAGAGATGCTGGGTGATCATTTGAGCTGGTAAGTGGTCATTTGAGACATTAGTGATGTATGTGTGTTTGAGTGATGGTTGGGAGGGAACTGTTTGTGGGAGGAGGAGAGATGGGGGTTTGTGGGTAATTATCATACATGTGTTATGTGTCTGTCTGTCTTCATGTGTGAGTTATGATGATCAGGAAATATTTCTAGTCATGTTGTCTTCTAGAGTAGTTTCTCCGTATTAGCCGCTTCACTGAGGCTATCGAATTTTGAATCTCTAATGTGTGTGTACTCACCTAGTTGTGCTTGCGGGGGTTGAGCTCTGGCTCTTTGGTCCCGCCTCTCAACACAACCGCCTGTGTGTGTGTGTGTGTGTGTGTGTGTGTGTGTGTGTGTGTGTGTGTGTGTGTGTGTGTGTGTGTGTGTGTGTGTGTGTGTGTGTGTGTGTGTGTGTGTGTGTGTGTGTGTGTGTGTGTGTGTGTGTGTGTGTGTGTGTGTGTGTGTGTGTGTGTGTGTATGTGTGTGTGTACTCACCTAGTTCTCACCTAGTTGTATTTGAGGGGCTTGAGCTCTGGCTCTTTGGTCCCGCCTCTCAACTGTCAATCAACTGTGTGTGTGTGTGTGTGTGTGTGTTCTCACCTAATTGTGACAACACTGTTACGCTTTAGCTCCTAGGCCCCACCTTTCCAATCAATAGGCAATTAATACAATGTCTTCCTTTCCTGAAGTGAACCATAGCTTGAGCTCAGAGAGTGGGTGACATTTCCGTCTCCAGCTACGAGGAGAAATGACTGTGGTGGTCATGTTAATTGGCCTCAGCCAGGTGTTGAGGCACAGGTGCCAGCGGTAATAGCTGTGGTGCCCCGAGGTGATTCCACTCCCACTTGAATAAGGTCAATCTCTCCCCCCCCCCTCCTCTAACCATCCCATCCGCTTGTTTAGCTGTGACAGGTGTGTGTTTAGCTGTGGCAGGTGTTTGTGTGTGTTGCCCCTGTACCATGTGTTCCAGGCTATGCCAGGTGTTCCGGACTATATCATATCTATATTTGAAACTGTGTTTGGAGTCTGTATCTTCTACCACAAAAATCTTTCCAATGTCTCTGAGCCTCAATTGGTCACTCAGTTTGGATCTGCGTCCTCTTGTTCTGTTTGTATCTACTATTATGTATATAGCAATCATGTCTCCTCTAACTCTTGTGTCTTCCAGTGACACGAGGCTTTCCTGTAGGCTTTCCTTGTAACTCATACCTCTCAGCTTCGGGACTACTCTAGTGGCATATCTCTGAACGTTATAAAATTCGGATTGTGCTTGAGATGAGAGACGTGTGTTGTGTGTGTGTGTGTGTGTGTGTGTGTGTGTGTGTGTGTGTGTGTGTGTGTGTGTGTGTGTGTATGTGTACGTGTCCATGCTCGTAATACTAGCATAAACGAAGATAGTAGTTGCCAATCATCGTATCAGATAGCACTTCGTGACGTTAAAGAAACGTTGGACTAGAAAAAAGTGACGTCATTGGACATCATGATATGCCGTGACGTCATTAAAGCGTGAGTTCACAGGGGCGTCACTAAATCAAATTGTTCACCTCTTCCAGTTTCCCCCTTTCCTCCCCTCTTGTGCCCATTAGTACACTGACACCCCCTACTCCCTCTCTCACCATCTTTCCTTTCCATATGGTCCCCCCTACTGAATGGAACCCTGTCCTCCCCTACCCCCTCTCCCCCCCTCTCGCTCCCATAATATGTATTCTGTAACAGTTATTGCGAAAACAAAATTGCAGACAAATAAATAAATGAGCTAGCAATGACGAAGAACTATATTTCGTATCTTACATAATCCCCAAAAATGTATCATTACATTCATTTCAAGTTCTGAAAATTTAGAAATGCCCCAATTGCAGTTGCAACGTGCTTGCAATTACAATTTTTTTTTTGTTATAATAATTATTATA